GGGTAAAAGAATGAACTTAAACAATTACTGCTTGTTATAAAAGCATATATTTTGAGACAATAATTTGATAAGAGGCCCCAAATTACGAAGAAGGTAGAACACTTCGACTATGCATGATATACACATAGTTTCAGCTTTTAAATTAGTAAGACCAGAATTACAATTTATACTATTGTTGGCAAAAGGTTAAATTATAACTGGTGAGGAAATAGACGACAGGATGAGCCCCTCATATTTGTAATTACTTTACCTATAGAATTTATGACATTTCCTGCTACTGGGAGATATACATGTACAACCAAATGATATAATATTCAAACTAACACCAGTTACACGTACATTGTATATCAGACATATCTACCTTTATAACAAGCCCTGATGTTTCTGGATATTGTCTGGAGAGCTTTTATATTTTGGAATGTCTTAAATATTTAATACCTATACAGAATCTAGCCTCAAAGTCTATAGTGCATAATTTGCATTTTGTCGAAATTAACAAAATATCCACAGCTTAATCCATGCTGACAAGTACTAAATTTGATCACTTTAACATTTCTATTACAAAATCATAATCAAAATATCAAGATAATCTCCCGGTTTGGATTCAATTTGATTAAAAGAGAGTGAGAAATGGGGTTTAACGTCCACTCGACATAAACTACGTCATTTTGGGACTAATAATATTTCAATAATTCGTTTATGCCTAGGGGTCTTTAGATGTGGGAGGAAACTGGAGGACCCGGAGAAAACCCATGAGGTTGGACAGGCCACCCTACTCCTTGCTTGTCATGTACAAGCGGAGAATATAACCAGACCTTGTGTCCCTTGTGATTTCATGTGCATGTGTTAAACCACTAGACCACCCATTCAATTACAAAAAATTGAAATAGGGGTTTAATGGCTTGTCAACAACAAATGGACTATATAGCACAAGGCACACTAAAAAGAGGTCTATGAAAAGATCTTAGCAAAGATTACTGGAGGCACTGGCTTTAACCATATCTGGTTTATATCGTCCACGTAAGATGCCTAATTTTTAATTCATCATGTCTTTGTAATCACTGAACGCAATTTTAACATTATTTGGAATGATGTATTCCGATTAGAGATTCAACTTTCACAATTTGTAGTTTGTAAGGGAGTACTTAATACCTCAAATGACATTCAGAGACTTTGAGCTTTCTTTTACCAATTGTGCAACATGTTTATATGGAAAACTAATAAAACACAGTAAATACACTTGTGATATAATGTTGATGTATATTGTAGACCAATAAAACACAATAAATACACATAATGTAAACTAAAACTTGTGATATACACTATACAGTGTTTATGTATATATGGAACACCAATAAAACATAGTAAATACACATTTAAATCACACCTTGTGATATACAATGTTTCAAATTGATTATTATGAAGATCAATTAATCCACCGATTCCACTCCTTATCTACTGTGTATTATAAGTGTATTCTCTACTATCTGAGCCATCTCTACTATTCAAATAGAGATTTCAAATTTGTCTAAAGGTGAACAATAAGCAGTTTAAAACCCTCCTCACCATTAAACCTGGTGTAAATTTGTCTGAGTGAATGTAAAAAACCCATTCAAATCAAATTTTAAGCATACTGAGAATATAAAATTCTCAATTCACAGATCTTGTATTTTCAACTATGTTCATCACAACATTGTACATGTCACGTGATGAGCTCAGAGCTAACCCATCTTAATATGTTGAAGGGGAGTAATGGTTGACAATTTTGACAATCATGTGTGTTGCAATCACAACAACGCGGGACTTTTCCGATCATTTGAGTTTGGGCAACAAAAATAGCAACTGAAGACAATAACATTAATTAAAAAACAATTGATTGTTAGTCTACTAAATTTTATTCACAATGAATATATCACCGATTACATGAATACTTGTAATTGTAAATACCCTGTATATTATATATATTTTAATAAATTATATTAGGCCCTACATCCCTGTAAATTATAGGCAACTTTGTGGCTAACATTTACAAATAAATACACTTTATTTCATAATTTTAATTGATCATATTTCATAACGCAGGGTCTAATCCTAATGCTCTGTGGTTATCAGTCCATTTTCAAAGTTTTATGAAAAAAGGCCACCGCTTCTCAATAATTTCCATATTTAATTCATGTTCGACTGTTTATGTCAATAATATTCCTGATTAAATTCCTTTTTTATTTTTTTTATTCGACTGATACTGAAATCAAAACATTCTTGATAAGAAAAGTTTGGGATGTCTAAACATCGTTTATCGTCTTTATGAAAATTTATCTAAAACAAAAAATCACTTGTCAAAAGAGGCATCACAGATTGCGTGTATTGTTGGGTCTTGTGTGTTAATTATGCACACTGTGAGAAACACTTGTGCAAGTTTTGTCCTAAATTTAACCATTTTCACTGCATCCGTGTAGTATACAATAACTCATTTGGCTTGGTACCTTTTACGGTAATAGAATTCAAAGCGTTGACTGGCTGAGGCATGATCGCGATCTACGAAATGCCACCTGGAAATTCCATTCTCCATGGGTTTCATAATGGAGCTGTTCTTGTGATTAATATTAATAACCGAGCATACACTTGTATACAAGCCCGTAGCTTCGAGGGGCAGTGAAGTTTTTAGGGGGGGCACACCCGGCACAGTCTACAGTAGGTATTTTAGAGCTATGGGCGTGAAATTTTTTTTCAGGGGGTGGGGTGGGGGGCATTGCCCTCTGGCTATGGGCTGCTCGTATGGATACATTGGCCTGTGAATTTCAAAACGAAGCCGGGAATTGCGGAAAATAATTGTGTTACCAAGATGCAAAATTCTGAAATAATATTCCAAGATAAATAGAAAGACATGGAATTATCTGCCGATTATTAAACCGATGTGCGGTATAATTTGTTGATAATAATTTTTGGTATTTATAAATAAAACCAAAAAACCTGATATACCTATTCAATGATTCAATGGCCTTGGCTTTTAATTTCCCGAGGCAAATGTAAAATACATCGACATTTACGGATTTACCTCGGCTACAGCAGATTGCCGAGGTTACATGTAATTGACAGGACTGCTTAAGTTCATCAGGAAATATTAAAGATATTCAAAGGGGAGATTCAAGGCCTGTAAAACGAATGTCGTTCTTTTTGTTCTGCACATGTGTTCAAAGGAAATAATCTCACCCAACTCTCTTACCAAATAATTAATACAAGACGATAACAAAATAACGGACTACGGCCGTATTTATTTTTGTAAACGCCCAAACTCATTACTGGGTCCGAGAGCAATACAGTGTAGCTTATTCATACACAAAATTTGAATTGTTGTAAAACAGACAAACACTGTTTACGATAGACAAGCTTAATTTAAAGTAGCTAAGTCTTCAACTCAATATCATCCAAAATCTTCGACATTGAAAACACGATTTATTTGTTGGTTTAAATGAACATTGATGTTGCGATCTTACTGGGAAAAGATGGCCTTATGGTATCCAATATTTAAGACAATATGATCATTTTACAATTGGTACACGAATCCTGTACCATAATGCGTTTCAGTGCTATTTGTAATAAGGGACCCGAAAAACGAGGCTAGGCATATTCCACAAGTCATGTTAAACGGTGACGCTATATTCTTATCTGGAGAGCATGTCCAATAAATACTATTGGCGTAGACTGGAATAACTAGAAGCTAGAGATTGAAATTCGATTGAGAAAGTATGTCGGGGAACCTAATTGATTAGAAATTACAGTAAAAAAAGAATCGATTGAATGTAACTCTATTTATATACATTCATATTACATTATTGTATGCGTTGTGACCCATTTGTGTCCATTTCTAAGTCCCAAATATTAGCGAATTAGCTCCTTTAAATTAGCTTCCATTTTTGTATTTCTTGATGTCAAAGTTTGTGATGAGTTCAGTTTTACAAGAGAGAACTTTTTTATGCGCTGGGATATGTAGTTGTACAGGTAAGTTTATAATAACCCATGTTAAGTAGTTTGTTCCTAATCGAAGAGGTGGACCACGTGGCTAAGTGGGTAAGACGCTGGCTCGCTAGCCTGGAGGTCGGGTGTTTGATCCCTGCATTGGCTGAGAAAGTTCATCCAGATTTTCCGGCATGGTTCCCCTTGTCAGTTCAATGCAGGACGGAGGGCCTGACAAGAACAGCTATCTAGTTGTTTGGATGGGACGAAAAAAACCAGGTCTCGTGTACATATTGGCGTGCACATAAAAGATCCCTTGGCAGTTGGAATTCGATATAAGAGTAGGCCGTAGCGCCGCTGCCCGGGCAAAATTTCCCTCATAGAACACTGTATGGCGTATGCCCGTCTTCATTAGCCCAGTTTAGGACAAGAACAGTAGGACGTTAAACCCCATTTCATTTTTTCATTTCCTAATCAAAGAAATCTGTTTAAAATTTATGGTTCAGAGTCAGACAGTAGTGAATAAACCTGCACAACTCCACAAGTGACAATGTTTTAAAACCTGGTGATTATTAGACTAGTAAATATCAGTGTTCGAATACCCCCCTCACCCAAACAAAACCAAATACCTACCATATCCGTCTAGCGATATCAGCATCAGGGCATACCTTGCCATAATTTGATTTCGGCTCTCGGAGCTGTGTATCATTAATAATATGACAATAATAATTGATACCGGTAATCATCATAGTAGATCTACCGGTAATAATCACAGAATAAAAACATATGTCTACTCTAGGAGAATATATTTATACACTTGACAACAGGAATCTCGGATATTTCATTTACAGCCTATCTAAATCTTACCTGTCTGTATTTTTGATCAGCAACTTTTGTTTAATTTCTCTTGAAACAGACACTTGTTGATTCTTCACGTCAAACTCTTGTTAGCTTTCCCTCCTATTACATACTTCGATTATCCAGTTACAAAAGTTCAAATATCAAAAGACTTATACCCGAGTCTACAATACGACCCGGAAACAGTAGCTAGATCAACGCGCAGGTGCGTGAACCCAACATGGCGGCAAAACCAAATCTGTCAAACATTCCTGTAAATCATCTTAACATTCAGCACTAATTCAACGATTTGACAGTATTACAATAACTGATAATGGCGCATCGTAAGTAGTTGGATTGTATCAGTACTTGTCTGCTTATAAAATTTCAGCTTAAAGTAAAAAATAAAGTACAAAATGTGTTTCAAAATATTTGTTTACATTTGTCACGATTCTGGTTAATTGATCATAATTGATGAATCGGACGACAGTTCATCTTCAGAAATTTGTCAAGTTCTGAAACTGAGGAGCCAAGCATGTGGACTAATAAACGTTTCCCTTTATAGAACTGCAAATATAGAATTGGATAAAACTTTATTTGATTGGAAGGTTAAAATGAAAAATGTGCTCATATCAATGTGACATGGACAAGTCTGAGCATGTTTAATGACAGTGAACAGTCCATTGAATCATGATATTTTGAATATGTGCTATAAATTTATATAAATGAAATCAAAGTGTGTGTGTATGTCCACCCATCACGCTTCGTTGCTGTGCTCCACCTCCACATCTGTGGTATTAAATTAACCAGCATGACCCTGTGAATATTTTATGCCATCAAATAGCATAAAATTTATTGACAATTATTGTTTGATAGAAAATTATATTCCAGTATGCACAAACAGATTGCACAGCAATGTCACCTTATAATTGTTCATGGATGTGCCAGGCCAATACAAGCCAGTGTGCCATACATGATGTCAGCTTGTTTACAGATACACGTAATCGGTTTCAGTTAACCATCGTATATACTACAACGATTACCCAAATGACTATGCAAATCTTCCAATTTGCTTGGCTGTCAGATTGGCGTTTTGATTTTCACGAATGACCTGATGTGAATGACGTTAATTGATTTTGTTTTGGATTTCAAGCTTTTATAAACATTGTGAAAGTCGACATTTCTAAATAGGGACTTCCAGTCTTGAGGCCAATTAGGAACTGATACAACTCATTTTCATTTCACATGACCCTATTGTAAGGTACTTCAAGATTTGAAGTTCCAATGATTCTAATTAGTAATTTGGTAAAGTCACGGGGTAGTAAGATTTTATCCTGGGCCCTTTGTTTTGTGTACTTCACGGTTTCATATTCATTAAAGAAAACTGTACTGCTTTTAATCCCAATATTAAATTGTTACTGACAACACTTTTTTAGGGCTGAGAATTCAGAATAAAGCATTCCTCTGTTCTTCATCCATCTTAATTTGAATACCAACTCGAGACCTACATCATGAACAAATTAAAATAAGTAACCGAAACTGATGTTTTTTTCGTAAAAAGGGCTTCTAGTATTGTCACTTATTAGCAAATCTAAAAATTACATTTTCCTAGCAAAAGTTAATTACTATAAAAATAGTTCAGTATTTAATACACCAAAGCAATAAGCTTCTTTAATCCCCAAATCAAACTTTGAATATACTGGTAGCTTTATTAATAACAAATAATATTACTGAAGGTCACATTTTTATTTTAAGTTTTCAGCGATTTTCATGCACATGTACAATGTGATTCCAAAAATTTGACAGAAATATGTTTTTGTAATTTAGTCATAATTCCCTTAATACACTGTCTATTTGTATAATTCAACAATCAAAATTTATTATAGGATATGTACTATAAACATGCATTTATATCCTTTCTAAATAAGTCACAGAAAATATATTAATTTGAGTTTCAAAATATAATTTATTGAACTCAAACAACATAATGCATAAAAATGGCCATTTTTGGGACATGTTTAACTCAACAACGAAGATATATATTGAAATTATCTTGTTTATTTGAATGTCACTGTTTTTAGGACTCAGTATTGATGACCCAATGCTGTAATTTTAGAACAATTATTTGCAGACAAGTTGACTTTTAAAAATGAGTTGAAATGTTACATAAAATCTCTTAGAAATTCATTTCATAAGCTAATATTTCCTATAGATGTACCAAACTGATCAACATTAAATATTCGCTTGTCTGCTACTTTCACTGAGCGGAATGACATCAGGGCGTGTTAATTAGATCTCATATTAACTTTTTTTCTTCTTCAAATTAAATTCTAAACAATTGTTTAAATTAAATTTAAGATAAAAAATAATTGCGTTGGAAGTGTATCTTGATACAAAATATTTCCTATTTAGTGTAAATGGGTACATAAAATAGTATGTGAAGGTATAAAAAAAGTAAAAGACACGAATTCTGTTACTAAGTCTGATGATGAGATGTCATAAGTAGACCTATACTACATGTGACATTAAAGGTTAGACATTATTCAGAAAGTTACCAGAAGGCTTTCACATTACCTCTGTGAAACAGATTGTGGATGTACATTATCTTTATCCCTGTCCCTTTGAGACCAAATGTTGTTCTGTGAAAAAGGCACCATTGAAGTTGTATCTGAAATATTGGATTTCTTTGTCAGAGATGTGTATTTCAAAACTGAATAAAAAGCTGAAAAAAAGGAAATTTAAGCCGGACAAAATGACAGACACCAGGGTTTATGTACCAGACAAAGCCAGTATTTGTGAAAGGTGGCTTATTTCCAGACTTGATTCATATGTATTATAATGTTGATTTTATAAGTACATTGCATTGTCCTTTTTTTCCAGTTTGGCAGCATCCATATGTAAATATATTCAAACACTTTAATTTATCAACATGGAAGAAATCAACCAAGGAAGGAGAAGTGGCATCTGCAATGGTTGGTTTATTATCAAATTATCTTTTTAAAATGATCATTGTAACTTTTGTTAAAATATTGATGTTGGCATTTATTTTCATATCCCCATCCTTCTGTCAAATGCTTTCACATTGGAGCCTACAGTGCCCTGAAGTTAAAACTCTCTCCAAATTTTATGAAACATTCAGCAATAAGCATGGTTGCAGAAAAATTAACTTTCTTGTTTACAGAAATAGTTTTCTGCTTATTTCTGTTTTTATTTCCTCTCTGGTTTTATATTCCAGGACAAGATTTTAAAAGGAACAGTTTACCGAATATCGGGTTCTATTCCTGCAGGGAATTATTTGCAGCTGCCTAAAACTGGTTCTCAATCCTTGGGGTTGACAGGACGATACATGTATTTGATGTTCAGACCAATTCCAGCCAAATATTTTGTTGTCCATGTTGATGTTGCAACTCAAGATAATCTAGTCGTTAGAGTTTCCTTCTCTAATTTATTTAAAGAATTTAAATCAACATCAACATGTTTACAGTTTCCATTTATATGTCATGCATCTCAAGGATCAGTTTCATCATATGCTTCTATTGGCAGTAGAGGTGAGACCTCCCAGATTGTAAACAATTAGAGCTATGATTTTAAATAATACATTTTGTGTATTTGACCAGTGAGATGGGTTCTTCATTCAAATTAATATTGTCATACCATAAAGACTATTTCACATATATGCAAAGCCTCAGCAAAGATAATATGACACAATAAATGGTCAGTGTGGAAAATTTGGCATTCATGTTTTCTTTAATTTTTAATCTTAAAAAAATAATTCATTTATGGTCTTCATTGTGAATCCCTTGCAAACTACAGTATTGTGAAAGTTTAGATTTCTAAAAGGAATATCAGCCTAAAAATAAGTCAATTCCGTTCACTATTGAAAAAGACTTGAAAATTTTGTAACATTTAACATCCTCTGCAGAAGCTAGTAACAAGTCATCATCACCTATAAATGTTTAATCTGATGGAATCCAAGCTGAGGATTAAACCATGAAAAATTAGACATGGTCCAGAGGATGCATGATCGGCAACAACGATTTTAAGTAATGTTAGATATTTGAAATTATTATAACCATAATCCATTTTTTTTTTTGATAGATCAAGGTGGACCAACACCTATTACAGCTCGGTGGACTGTCTTATCATTAGATTTTGAACATATTTTATCAACTTACTTAAACAGAAAATATCATTTCATCAAGAGTATCCGGTTATGTGCTAATATGATTGTTAAAAATATCTACACCAGTGATATGATGTATGATCCAGGTAATTAAAATATATGTGGATGTCTCCTGCCTTAAAGGTTGTGTTTATATCTCCTTCTGTCCTTCATCCTATCCTTATGTCCATCCAAATATTTTTGTGTCACTAAGATATTTGTTTTAAATTATAACCTATCCATCTCTCTGGAACTTTCTGTCTTATAGTACCGGTAATTTAAATAAAATAAATACCTGTATGTGGCTTCGAAACAGCTTGATAGAGATTATTAGGAACAGAGAATTTGTATTCTCCTTATTAATGAAAATGCAATTATCCTGGCAACTGAATTATTTATTGAAGGATCAGATAGAATGGAATCAGAAAAAAAGGTACTGTTTCGAAAATTTAAAATTCACCATATTTTATAATACATGTTAGATATAAACTTTTCTCTAACAATAGTGTTCTGTATTTTTGTTTTCAATGCTTGTGATTATTTTCAAGGAATAACATTTGAAGAAAGTAAGAAAAGGGGCATGGTTCCTGGAAATATAGCACCAATGCCAAGAGAAATGGCTTTTCCTTTATTGAAAGGTTCTAACTGGCATGATGTCTATGATATAATTCGGTAAGATTCTCAATTTGGATGATTCTGGTGTACATATATGCCAGGTAATACGGTTCTATACATAACCTTACACATATCAATACTTTAGCCGAGAAAGTTCGTCCAAATTTTCTGGCATGGTTTCCCCTTGTCGCTTATGCAGGATGGAGGGCCTGACATGGACTGCTGTCTAGTCGTTCAGATGGTACGTGTTCGCATTGCCGTGCACATAAAAGATCCCTTGACAGTTGGAATTCGATATAAAAGTAGGCCGTAGTGCTGCTGTCCGGGCAAAATTTCCCTCATGGCACACTGTATGGCGTATGCCCGTCTTCATTAGCCCAGTTCGGAGTAGAACAGTAGGACGTTAAACCCCATTTCATTTTATTTCATATCAATACATGACCTGGTTAATCTGGCAATACCATTCAAATATTATGAGAAATATAATGAAAATTAGATGGAGAACAGAAATTGAAAACGGCAGTTGTGAATGATTTATTTAGTAGGACCAATCTGTATTTAACAACAAGATATATTATATTTTAGATTTCCGACAGAGACTGAAATGAAGCCATTTGATTCTATCCAGTTTACAAACCAGAGATCTAGTGGAAGTAAGTTCAAATAGAAAATCTGATATATTTTTCTCCATTTATTTCATCTGTTATCACTGAGTTACATTGGTTTTTATTTTTTGAGTAGGAGTCTGGGCCATGGGGCCACATTCAGAAACACAAATGTTTGTAAATGATTTTGTGCAGCCCGCTTTTAAACAAATAGGGTCTTGCTGATTTACCAAATATCTTATTTACTATGCTGTGGAATTCTGTAGCTCTTTCAGATATTCTCACATTTTCATTTTTTAAAGGGCATATAGCTCTAACTTACATCCCACTTCTACTCGTTGCCACTGGTAACCTTTGATAAAACTGTCCTGTTTAATCGCAATACATGCTTAAAAGTATCCGTGTAACAGTAATGTACAGAAAGAGTACTGTTCATAATGTACAGAAAGAGTACTGTTCATTTCTGATACACGGATACTTTTAAACCGTTTTAGATACCTATCAAGCAATCAGTAGCGGACGTTTAGTCCGATCCAGATCGCAAATGAAGACGATGGCTCTAACCAATGTACATGAAACAACTAGTCAAAATCATAGTAACAAAATAAAATGGGGGGAACTACATGGCAGTTCAAAAACATATACAATGACATTAAATTAACATAACAACATATTACAAAAATCAATTATTATACATATCAATTGGCATCTATTTTATAATTTGGTTTGATTTATATTAATATGCAAAATATATATATTAGAATATTGAATAATTATTTTAATTAATTGTGATGATAGAAGGCGCAGTTCTCTTGCTGGACACTTCACAGGCATTGATAATAAGCAGGATGAAAAAAACGCCTAGAAAGTCATAAACTTTATTACAAATAAATTTCAACGGAAGAACCATCCGCCGATGCATACTTTCACCAGGAATGACCCACGTTTCGCATTTCCTTTACACTACATTTAATAATATCGCAGTCCTCTACGCCATAGATAAGATGTTTTGACGGTGTGGTCTAAACAAACACGTGATTGTTTTACGCTCAGAGTATCATAGCAAGACGCACGTGTAAATACTACTCAGGTCGTCTCTCCACAGCAAAATCATTCTACCATGAAATGTAACGTGAGGCTCAGAAAGGGATAAATAATGAAAGAGCAGAAAGTATTTGTCACTTTTCGGTTGAAACGACTCGATGATAAATACTATTTTTCACATGTTGGTTCACAATACTCGATAGAAATGTGATGTAAGTAACTTATTAGCACCTTTCCTCGGTGTATCGGTGAATATCAGGACAGTTTTGGTCGGGGGCCGCCTCGGCTTCGCCTCGGCTGGGCCCTCGACCAAAACTGTCCTGATATTCACCGATACACCTCGGAAAGGGTGCTAATAACTACTACTTAATACTGTCCATAATATTCAACATTGAAAACACAAATTATTATTCAAAGTTGGTCCATTTCAAGCAATATTGATGCTCTTAATTGAAGGAATTAAAAATTGCTGATCCACAAATGACAAAAAGATAAACTTGTTGACTGGGCTTACATTGTACCATGTATAAACACCAATAATTCAATTTGAACTAACCATCTATTTCACAGAACATTACTGATTAGAAATTACAATAAAATTAAAAACATTAAATGTAAATCAATCAGGATATTCACTCACTTTACATTTTTGACCCATTTTTGTTTTTGTAAGCTTCTAGAGAATAGAGCTGCATGTAAAAGCCCTTAAATATATGCATACATTTTGTTGGTTTGCTCATTATGTCATATATTATAGAGAGGCGGTTCTATGAATGAATTATTACATTTATTGTATTACAGATGTAGAACCGGTTCGACAATCATCTAAAACAGTGGATATAAGTAAATGTGTATCTGATAGAGTAACTATGATAAATAAAGTAACAGCACCAAGAGAGGTAATATTCTCTTTACTCATCATAGACTTTCAACTAAATATTTTGTTTAAAGAATCAAAAGATATGTTTTGAACGGTTTTTAAATGCATAACAATCCCACAGTGGAGTTGGCACATATCCAATAGATATTGCAGTTATAAAACTCAGGAGGAATATTTCTATAACCTTAAAGGCTGGTTAATTTTCATATTTGCAGAAAAAAGAGCAGAAATCACATAAGAACATTTTATTGGCCCAATTATTAAAATCAAAGTCAGTATCTGTACAATATTATATAGACAGAATGAATTAACCATCTCCTGAAATAAGAACAAAAAAAACGTAATTCCAAAACAAAATTTCCATTTTTTTTAAACAAAAAATTGTCAGCCGTGTACAGTGTAGCACTTGTAGCATTAAATTCCAGTGGAAAAAAGACTTTTTTATTTAATGAAATTTGAATTTGATCAACAAAAATGCATCTTTTTACATATAACTGTTAGATTCCTATTCAGACTGATGAGAATACACCATTGATGTGTTTATAAGAAGTCATGATAAATTTATATTTCAGAAAAAGACACGGCAACATGTAAATTCTGATTTACCAGAAGTAGGTGTTGTTGATACGTGGTCTGTAGCACATGATGAGTTAGGAGATGTTCATCTGTTTGCTAAAACTGATGACGATGTTGTTGTACATAGAGAAGATAAACGTACTGGACGAGAGGTAAGCTGAAAAACTGCTCAATAGATATGAAATGTGATTTAACGTCCTACTGTTCTGCACGAACTGGGCTAATGAACACAGACATACGTCATATAGTGTGCTATGAGGGAAATTTTCTCCAGACAGCGGTACTACAGCCTACTCTTATTATGAATTCCAACTGTCAAGGGTTATTTTACGTGCATGCCATTGTGTACATGGGACCTTGGTTTTTGTACCAACCAAACGACTATACATTGTCCCTTGCCGGGCCCTCCATCCTGCACTATTCACAAGGGGAACCACACCAATAAGTTCTGATGAACAGAATCAAACTCCCCCGAATAGACAGACAGTATAGACAGTAAACAAATACAAACTTTTATTTTACAAAGTTAAAATCAACACTGACTGCAAAAAGTATAAACCCAACAAAACAAACGTGAATAAAATTGTTAGCTTTGTGAATTGACACAAGAGAAGAATAGTAAACTGTATATTGTAAGAAAACTGATGTGGTTGCACATTTTTGACTTTAAAATTGAGAGAGAGACAGAGAAATGGGTTTTAAAGTCCACTCGACACAAACTAGGTCATTTAGGGACTAACATATGGTTCAATTTTATTTCAAAAATTCGCTTGCAAGTAGGGGTCTTTAGCAGTGGGAGTAAACCAAAGGACCTGCAGAAAACCCATGAGGTTAGACATGCGACTCTACTCCTTGTCATGTACAACCGGGGAATCGAAACCACACCAGTTGACTCACATTGCGCACATTGAGGAGCCTACAAAACATTTTAGTTACAATCTTAAAATATTGGGGATTTGTGGGTTTTTTTTTCAAATTTTGATTTGATTTTTCAGATAAGCAGGAATAAAGTGAAAGGTCCAACGACAGTAGTTAATAAGAAAGACAACTTTACAGTAAGATCTTTCTAATGAATGTCTAAATATAAATTATGTTTAAGTTCAGTATTATAAAAAAGACTTATTTATGTCATCTGCAAGATAATGATGAAAGTTATGTAATTTTCAATTTATCATATCTTTGTAACTACTGAATAGAATTGAAATTTTTTTGGACTGAAATTCCATTTATTGTATCCCAATATTATAATTAGCTACAAATTCAAAATCACACAAATGGCGATCAACGGCTTTAAAGTATATTTTGAGAAAATAAATATGTAGTGGTTTGTTACTAAAATCTGTATGATTTTAATTTATATTTTAGCAATTAGAACCTGATCCAATATTAAAGTTGAAAAAAATAGTTGGGTTTGGTGGTGGAACATATAAGGAGGTAAGTTGTCTGTGTATTTTAAAAATTCAATGTAAGTATAGTAATACAGAACTACAATGAAAATAATGATCAATATGAACTTTCCAAACAAATTAGAAGTAGTATCATGTATTCTAGAAAAAGTAAACACTTTATACCAATTATAAAAGTTGACTACCTGGTGGAGTCTCCATATACTCACTAAATGAAATGGGGTTTATGCACCAACTAGACTAATGCAGTGTGCTATGTGGAAACATTTTCCTGATCAGCTGTCTTTCTGCCTGCTCTTTACCAAATTTCAACTGTCAAGGCTTCATTTATGTGCACACGAATAAGTACAGAGGTGGATGCTTTCCAGTGCCAGCTCCTCAGTTCTGCACCACTGATAAAGGGAAACCAGGTTTTTATGGAAAAAAACTGAGTAACTTGGTCAGTCAACATGGGCGTTGGCGCCTATCTATGAGCCATTGTGGCTCCTATATTCACTAAGACTAGTGTCCGTACTTACACATTGCTGCCAATGCAAAATACATGTTATTTGAAAAGTAATTTATAGTGATTGCAAATTAAGATCAAATCTTTGTTTGAAATAATGATTTAATTTCAATGTTATTCAGGTTCTATGGACACAGGATGTAACAACGGTTGTTTATCCCTGTCATGCTGTTGTTGTAGCTATGAAAGTCAATAATGGACGACAACGTTTCTTTATTGGACACACAGATAAGGTAAAGATCTAGTAAATACAGCGTAAGTTGTTAGATTCTGGTCTGGGGATCAATTACCTTTATTTCTGCTTAAACTAAATTATTATATTTTTAAAAATATTTTGCTCTGTTGGGATTAAAATATGTCATTCAGAAGAAATGTAATGGGGATTAACCATACACTTTTCTGAACCAATCAAGATAATGAAAATTGGTATATGACTAGAAGTATACTGTGACAGAAATTTTGCCCAGACATTGGGGCTACATCCTACTCTAAATTTACAGTTTTGCACCAGACAGAGGAATCAGGGACTTTCTCGGCCATCACTGGAATCGAACCTGGAAATCTCAAGTATAGTGTGCCAGCCTGGGCTCACTCAAAAGGAAGATAACGATGTCAGGTTGGGCTAGAGATTTCCTGCCAATGTATATTAAGATTTACTTAATTTTTGTAAGCTATTAAAATTTGAGTACAGTATTAATATTTCTTTGGAGTAGAAAAGGGCTATTTTGTAGTTCCAAGGTTACTTGTTAATTCATGTCAAATTTTACAGGTGTCTGCTATTGCTATTACTGGTAATTCAGCTCTACTGGCTTCAGGTCAGACAGGAACAATGAGTCTTGTAAGAGTATGGAGATTTCATAATGGTGAATGTTTAGCCATGTGTAAAACACACACCCATTCTTTACACTCTCTAAGGTTTGTTCCATTAATTCTTTTAAATCTCCATGTAAGCAAGATTATTCTGAAATAAAACGATGCAGATATGTATTCCAGAGGACATAAACAATGCAAAAAGAAAGTTACAATAATAGCTTTACTGTATCTTTTACCAGAACATCCGGTAGCACTTGCCACTTCAGGGTCCATGTAGTTAAGTCTGTCCAGTTTTCATATACTGTTTGTCCTGTGTTTTTAGGGGAGTTGGGTCAATATCTGGTAGTTCGGGAAGGTCATAAACTCCCACATGCCAAATTAGAGACCACATGGGGTTATGATTGATTTTTTTCCATATTGAAATGACCTCCCCAACGCCTGGTCTTTTAGTTGAATTTTAGTAAATGGGAGACAACTCTTGAGTTACCTATTATCTGCCCTTAGACCACACAGTTTTTATAATGATAACAGACAACTGGTTTCTGGGTTGTTTTGTTTTAGTAAATGTGAGACAACTCTTGAGTTTACCTATTATCTTCCATTAGACCATATTGTTATTATGCTGTAGCTATTTGACTATTTGTTTTTTCCTTTATAGTTTTTCTACTAATGGTAATGTTTTATGTGGTGTTGGTAAAGATGGTCAAGGGAAAAATGTAATATATTTATTTAAACTTCAAACTTTTTTTTTCACATCTTTCTACACTCTAGAATTATACAGTTAACATTTTGATACTTATTTTGCTAATATATTAATGTGATAAAGAAAATAATTAACCATTCATAATACAATGTAATGTAATTTATAGAATGTGTGTATTATACACCCACTTATAACAGTAACAAAAGAAAATCGTATACTTATTTTGCTAATATATTAATGTGATAAAGAAAATAATTAACCATTCATAATACAATGTAATGTAATTTATAGAATGTGTGTATTATACACCCACTTATAACAGTAACAAAAGAAAATCGTATTCTAAGTCAAAGATATAGTATATAATTGTTGATATCTTTTATTCTATATACAGATGGTGGTAATATGGAATACATCTAAAGTGTTAAAATCTAGAGAGATGTCTGTCATGGCTAAAGCTCACACTGATGTAGATATTGTTAGAATGAAGATTGCAGGATTTGATGAAACAAGGTAAGTCTGTTAGATTGATTATAGATAGAAATGATACATTGTTGAGTCTTTTTCTACGTTATTTTAGGTACTTCTTGTAGTAATTTCATTCAAATATTCCTTTTAGAGGTTCAACTTACACAATACTGTAGTTTTGACAGGATTAACTGTCCCTCAAATGGCGATCAGAGATTTTAAGCAAACATAATATAGTTGTCTATTACTGTTTCTTTATGGAATTTCATGACAGTTTAATAATGTAACATGGAATGAAATAAAAAAATAATTCTTAGAAATTTCTTTCCTCTTTTTTTTTCATTAGAATGGTATCGTGTGGACGTGATAATGTGAGATTATGGCGTGTAAAAGAAGGATCATTAAGATCAGCGCCAGTATCTCTAGGAGAACATCATAACATGGATTTAACAGATATCTGTTTTGAAAATTGTGTTCAACCTGATAAGGAATCCACCAATAAAATTATGTAAGTTTTTAAAAAGATTCTTACACAAACTGAATAGAAAATTTAAGAATCAACTTTGAGATATGTGTAATGTTAAAAATGAGTAAGGGGTTTTGTTTTTCTTAAACATGTATCGTTCAAGAAAATTGGAATTGACTGAAAAACTACAATTTATTGTGTATGAAATAAATAATCAAGATCTGTTTCCATTGACATCTTTTTCTTATTCCTCTTGGGGCAAGGCTCTTCAATAAAGCTTATAGCTCTATCAATTCAAATATGATCAACATGAAACTTGTTCTTTTGAAATTTACACATTGATTGATGGATGGACTACAATTTTTGAAAAGTCACAATGGTCAATAATATGCTTGTACTTGTTTTCAATACACTGATGAGGCTTGAGGCTTTACTAATTGACTTCCTCCTTATACTGAAATTGGTGTTATAGCAAACTTTGTTATAGTTTAGTGAGGTTCCTATGTAATTAATTGGGAAGAAATTGACTAAACTGGACTAAATATGGTTTTATTATGTTTAAAAACAATTATGATTTTCAGATATGCGTGTAGTAAATCTGGTCATGTGATAAAGATAGATTATCAGAAAGTTGCTGTTCAACATGTCAGACGTCTGCTTCCTGTCAATAAAAAATCAACGAAAGATAAAGAAGTAAAAACAGGTAAATAGATTGTGGGACTACACGAGTGCTGGATATTGTGATTTCAATCATGATGCAATATTTATTGTGATTCAGGTATTGTGATTTGATTCACCTGGTTCATATCTAAGTCATAAAATTAACGAAGCAGGTGATATAGATTGACTTAAGGTTGATAGCGTTGCTCCCACCTGCCTTATGTCCAGTAGTGCACCTACTTGTTACTTATATACTCAAACCTGTTGTATAGTAAACCACTCTACAAGCACCAGTGTTCATGGTAAAAGTCAAATTGTTTCATAGTAGTAATGTGACCTTTAATGTGATGCTCAGAAAGTTCTACGTGTGATGTAACATGATATTGATGGTGTCGATAACGGGCTTTGTTTACAACGAATGTAGTAGTAAAAGCGATTCTGGGCAAAGTTCACACTAAAAAGGAAATATTTTTTATCCAGATATACTTCAAACACTTATATTTTTTTTCTTAATAATTTAAAAAATTGTTTTAGAATTTAATTTGCAGAAGCAAAAAAGTTAATATTAAGAGCTAATTAACTTACCCCAATGTCATCCCGATCAGTGTTATTGACCGCCAAGCGAATATTTACTGAGTGATCAGTTTGAGTCAAGTGCTATGATTTCGATTCTCAGCTTGTACATGGCACGGCAGGGTCACCTGTCCAACCTCATGGGTTATATCCAGTTTTCTCCCACTGCTAAAGATTCCCCCCCCCCCTTTGTGCAGGCGAATTATTGAAATAGAATTAAACCATATATTTATTTTAGTTCCAAAATGACCAGTTTGTGTCGAGTGGACATTAAACCACAAATCTCTTTCTCTCCCTATCTAAATATAGGTACAGGAATATGCATTAACAGTATGTTTGTTAGTGAAGCATTTTGTGTGACGGGATCAGATGATGGATTTCTACGTCTATGGCCACTAGATTTTGCTAATGTATACTTAGAGGCAGGTGAGTTTTCTGACAGTTTCTGATTATATTATGTTCTCAAGGATGGTTAATTATGAGTTACAAATGTTCCTTCCATCTTAACAGAAGTGCAGTTGTGTAACACTGTCAGTCTGATAATAGATTTGGTGTGAGTAATGTGAATATCATTCTGTGGTTGTGGACCTGGTACAGTGGTAACAATATATAATTATTCATGTCTTGTTTAGTGGAATTTCACTTTTCTCAAGATAAATGAATTCCACGATGTTCGGGCAACACAAAAAGGAGCTGAACCTATTTGATATAGGTGAAAATACCGTATTGAATCAGGTTGATCTGTGGTATTATTTAAATAGGGTTAGGACAAGTTCTTTACTATTAAATCTTTGTTTAGAAAAAGCGGAAACTGAAATTTTCAATAAAGAGAGTTTCTTCTCCCACAAAACAAATCAAAATATACAATCCAATGAAACTGACTCATTTATTTTTGCCCATAATCATCAAAGTGGCCTAGCCATGTTAAGTCAGATTGATTACAATTTTGATTAGTATTCAACTTGTCTAAAGTAACATAATTATTTTAACAGAACATGAAGGTCCTGTAACAGCTGTTAATTTATCATCAGATGGTATGAAAATATTGGCTGGTACTATTACTGTAAGATTTTATTTTTATTATTACGTAAATATAGAAATTCTGGTTTCGAATAATTTTAAATCTTTTGTTGTTTAATTTGTTTGATAGACTTTTCCAGTCTCTGACAAGACCGTTAAAAATTTGGAAGTATTCACAATCAAATGTGTACAATAACAACATAAACAAAAACATAGGTGAAGCATGTGCAATAAAATCATCTCCAATGTAGCCAGTCTACGATCTCATTATTTCATTTCCCTAGAAGTTGCATATCTAGCATACAGGACCTTGGATATTGTCCAAAACCGTAAAAAGCTATCACAAAAGGAATTTGGCACTGGCTTTATTCAGTAAACATAAGTAATAACATTGCAGATGTTGTTAAATTTTATTTGATTTGGAAAGTCATAAGAAATATTGATGGCCATATTGGTATGTACTGACATATTGGTATGTTTCGTTGTCTGGCAAGCTATATTTTGTTTTACAGGGTAATCTAGGTATATTAGATGTATCAACACGAGGTTATACTACTATAATGAGATCACATACATCTAGTATACATAGTATATCTATAGATCCATATAGAAAACATATAGCTACTGTAGCTGATGATAAAACTATCAGAGTCTGGGATGCTGAAACACTTCAACAGGTACATGCACAAAATAATTATTTTTATCATATGATGCTTGTTCTATTAAATCAGCAATATCGAACAAGATCTTGCATTTAGGCAAATTGACTCCAAATGAGAATGACCATTTTGATGTTATGAATGACTTTTTTGTGTTAAATCTCATTCTTTTCATCTCCTCAATTAAACAGAAATGTACAGTTTTCAATGAATTGTTTAAATGGCTCCAAATGGAAATGTTAAAATGACCAAAAAGGAACTGTATACATTTTGATTTTTATCAACTTTCTATTTCAGTTGTATGATTTTAGTGCAGCTAAAGAATGTCCGTGTACAATTAGTTATCATCCTTCTAAACAAGTGTTTGCTTGTGGTTTTGAGAATGGTATAGTGCGTATCTTTAATGTTTCAACTACAACAATGTTAGCAGAACATAGGTAGGTAGAAAAACCTTGTGTTATCATGATTAGATTTTAATACTGTATAGTGAATCCAGACATGGAAATTTCTTGGTCTTACTACTGTTAAATTTTAATACTGTATTTTGTAGCCCAGCATGAAAATTTCTTAGATTATGCGCCATTTCAAGCAATAGGAATCACTTGCAAGCTATAATATTGTGATAGATGAATCTCTAATAGGAATATCAGTCCAAACCTGGTTCAATTCAATTCAGTATTTACAAAGATATGTTGAATTGAAATCTCATCGATCTATGCTGCTCGAGCATAACAAGATGCCTAGTGGGCCTAGTTTAAATCTGACTGAATCTAACCCGGGAGATTATCTAGCATTGATATTTTTATTTCTTAATAAAATGTTAAATAATCAATCTGAGTACATATTTAGCATGTATTAAGCTGTGAGAAATTTGATTTAGTGAAAACGCAAATGGCGAATCAGGACTTTATGTTGTAATAATCACAAATATCAACAGTACAAATATTTCATGTATTGGTGAAGTGTTTTAAGTAAAACATTTTAGTCCTTGTCAGTTATACTGAAACAGAATAACCGTAGTAGGAGTATATGTAATATTACACTTATTCTATTTCAATATTCCTGGGAGTGAGGAATGCCACTTTTATGAGACTGCCACATCCCCCTCCACTTTTATACACTTACACAGAATTTTCCAATCTGTTTTCCCTTTGTCTGTGGAGCATGAGGGCCTGAAACGAAACAGCATCTGGTTCTATTTAATAAAATGGTATAGCCCAGGATATTTGGAGGGTTCAATTTGTTGGTTTTGTTTTTAATGGATTATTTTGTGGTTTTTTTTTTATCCAGACAACATCGTGGGAAGATAACAGGATTAGTGTATAATCCAAATGGAGATTATCTGTATAGCTGTGATTCACTGTGTTCTCTTGTTTTATATGATACATCAACAGATGGTTATAATATTAATCGTGTTTTAACTAATACCGTAGCTAGAGGTGAACGTTATGGTCCTAACGCTTTATCTGTTAGTCCAGATGGTACCTGTATGGCTTTTATAGGACCGTCTGATTTTACCGTTACTGTTGTCGAAGGCAAATCTTTAGATGAGGTAAGTATGTGGCTCAGTGTGTGATGCGCTGGCAAACTTACCACAATATTCAGGATTTGAAAGCGGTGTTGGTCAAGAAAGTTCCCCAGGATTTTATCATTAATTGCCATATTACATGTATATGTTTTAAGGAGGTTTCTGGTCCTACAGCTTATTTATCTATGACTACTTGGACCTGTCAGCAACTACAACTCCCTCTAATGTCTCAATGTGAATAGCTGTGAACTGTATACTAATTATGTGACTCATGTGGTTTTACATACTAAACTTATGCTGTTTGTCTACAATTAGCTCTGCTTGAGAACATACACTAAGCTAGTTGACCGACATTTTAAGTCTTAAATCAACAATTTTAGTGGAAAACACTAAGGAAATTTCAAGAATTTTGCTACGTATATAGTCTACTTTTATTTACTTAAATTGAAATGGTTTAATTAGTCTTTTTGTGTATAACAGCGGTTAACCGGCATAGGACCGCATTACAAAACCGTATACTTATTGTTGGATATGGCGGCTATTTAGGGCAGAGATATATTTTCGAAGTAGAGTAGATGGATAGTTCTCTGTGTGCAGAATGGTGGTTTAAGGTAGACTAGGGAGCAGTAATTGCAGCTGGTTTTAAAAATGAGCTACAAAACATCATTTTCATGGTTCCATTTCGCAAAGCACACATAAGACTTGTGTGCATATAAATCAAACATTTTACTATACAACTCTATTAAAGTTTGTGTACCTATATGTACCCCTGATATATAACTTGTTTATGTTGCAGGTTTTAAGAATAGATGTAACTAATATGAATCCATCTGATAATGCTAGAACAACTATAGATACAGCTATACAAGTTTCTTTCTCTACAACTAAACTAGCACAACTTTTAGTTACAACTGCTAATAATAAACTTCTTAAATTTGATGCTAGAAATGGACGCTTATTGACTGAAGTATGTACTCCTTTATCATTTTTTTGTACTTGGAAATTGTGTTTTGTCTTTTCTGGCTAAAGCTCCAGGAATGCCATAGATTCCAAACCATTATGGAAATGGCTAATAACTGCATCCAAGAGGAAAAGAACTTTTACTGACATTTTAGAAATGGTTTCATCAAATATTAGGGCTGGTGGTCTAACATAAAGCAAAGAAATAATTTTTAAGTCCTGAATTGATTTTGTGAAGAGTTGAGTAGATGATGTTAAATCCCATTTTTCTCTCCTGCTGCTTCTTAAGACATGGAATTTCCCCTAAAAACTCTTGTACCATATAAAATTGGTTTTAAGTAGACTCAAGCCTTGACATTTAATCAGTCATTATCTATCCTTCTATATACGATTTCTAGTAGACTCTAGATTTTTATAGATTTTTATTTTCAGTAACATCAGTTTTGATCTGTGTGTTCTCTGGTTCATCGATGTTAATTCCCAGATAATAATGAATTGCATGATCAATGATTTATCATCAATTATATTACAGATGGATCATATACATAGAAGTGGTTGTTCATCTATCAGTGTCTATGATTCAGGCAAATATTTAGCTACAGCTGGTGATAAAGTTATTAAAATATGGGATTATGATATGAAACTAGATATTAATTTTCAAGTAAGTCTTCTTCAGTTATAATAATTTAACCATCATTTAGGTAGAATAAAGCTTGTACAGTGTATACAACTACACTGTACATGGCTCATGTTGTGCACATAATTGTCAACAGATGATTTGATCCAAAAAGCCTCTCTATTCAACCACTCATCCCTTTTCCTTGGTTTGAAAGTTATATATATATATTATTATAACACTGGTAATAATTTATTTGTGTTGATTATTACAGGTATTTATTGGTCACTGTGAGAAGATAAATAAAATATTATTTACACCTGATGGTATAGGTTTTATCAGTGTTGGTGAAGCTATTTATCTCTGGGATTTCCTGGCATTTGAAAAACCCAAACCTACAGAGTATGTTTCTAAACTTATTTATGACATAAGAATATATACATAATATGGGAAATGAAGAAAAATCAGTTTAACACCTTACTTTCTGCACATACCGAACTAATGAAGAATGACATACACCATGTAGAGTGCTATGGCTTACAAGTAATTCTATTTCCATTTTATGGGGATTTTAACATGTAGCATCCGAACTACTAAGTTTATTTGACATCCTCTCCATCCTGCACCAAGCCACCATGGCACCATACATATTCTTACATGCAGAATTTACATAAAATCCTTTAAAAAATCCAAAACCATTTGCCATTTCTTATCCTGAATGACAAAAATTGCTGTTAAGTCAGAAATGCATATGGTGTATAAAATCTTGTGATGACTTCTGATGGTGTGTAAGACAGATCTGTTAGACAATAGTTGGTTTTTGTGTTATTTTATATTAATAACAATTGATGGTATGTCATAAAGATAAAATTTTAAAATAGATTTTTTTAATACAAATTATAGGGGCAGAGAAGTTGTTTTAGATCAAGAGCAAGAAGGTAAGAATACTTACCAGTATATGAATTACATTAAAAACAAAAAAGGACTTTAATGCCTGTCAAAGGATTTGGAACTCAATTTGATGTTAAAAGAAGCCACGCCCTCAGCAAATAATGGTGTAAAAAGTGCATACTTTTCTCTCAATTTCAAGATGTTAGCTTCTTTAGCCTAGCATAGTACACAATTCTGATATTTATATTGCTAGGTTATAATTTAATATTTATATTGCCAAGTTATAATTTAATATTTATATTGACAGGTTATAATTTAATATTTATATTGCCAGGTTATAATTTAATTATGTATCAAATTTAATTGTTAATATATTGTAGAACTTATAAAAGAAATGGAAAGGATGAATAATTCTATGGGTAGATCTTTTACGGAGATACCTAGAAGATCACCACCCAGACCGACTGTAGCGTTTGATTCACCTGGTCGGATTGAAGATCTGAGTTCTATTTATAAATCTTCCATTGGAGGTAATATTTGATCTTCTGTTTGATATTTTTCATAATCTGTATTTATTACGCACAAACTGCATTTATAGTCACAGGTAGGGTGCTCCACGCGGAAAAAAACTATTGAAAACTTTTAGAGGCATTTAATAACTGGATACAATTTTTTTTTTCCACCACTTATCAAAAAGAATCGCCAGTACCCCAGAACGTTATCGCCAAAATCAAATTATTTTAATTGCCACTTTCATTTTTTTATCACAAGTTGCGACTTTGGTGACCGATAGCTTGAGTCCTGACTGATTGTGAGTCGTAAATATACTCCCATTCCCAGATGTTTTTTAAATTAAACGGTCCTACTCATGCTTAGATGTTACAGATATAGAAGATATACAATCATCAAACTCTGATAAAGAAGAGATTCTCATTGGTCCAGAGTTAGATGAGAATCAAGCACAGCTATCATCTGAAAGTGAAACAGAAGTGGTATGTTCAAATTTCTTCCAAAAAAAAAAAAAAGACATGAAAACATAAATAGAATAATTCAGTCCTACTAATCAACATCAAGAGCCTTTGTTGTTCATTAGTGCCAAAGGTATTGCAAAGAGTGACAGAGAAGGAAAGATATGTGATAGATATGCATATTTGATACATCATATCTGAAATACTTGGGCTAACTAACAGAATGATGTTTTTGTCAGTAATTAGCAAAACTATTTTCGTCAATGTTGTAATTATCCATTCTTTTGTCAATTTGTTATGAAATCATTTAAATTTTGATGTGTAGAATGTGCATACCCATGACATTTCTTTCCTTTTCACTACCATACTTTGAACACTATTGACCCGAAAACACTCCTGTCGGTGATTAGTACGACCCAAATGATGCTCAGTACTAGGATTTTCTCTTCCCAATATTTGTCCTGTCTGATTTATCTCATATTAGTAAGATGTAATTTTAAAAGAATGTGACAATTTTTAACATTATCCAAATTTTATATATATTTTTTTGTGATTTCACAAAAAAAACAAAACTATAAATTTAACTCAACTTATTGTGTTTTAAGGTTAAATTTTTAGAAATTCTAATTTTATAGCATGTAAGTTCTTCAGATGGTAAATTTCACTGCTAGTGGGTATGAAGGTTAAATTGTTTGAAACTCTAATTTTATGACATATCAATAGACTGACATGTAAGTTCTACAGCGGGTCAGTTTCACTGCCAGACAGTCGGGATGTTAGCCTGGAGGTTGGGTGTTCGATCCCTGCATTGGCAGAGAAAGTTCATCCAGATTTTCCGGCGTGGTTTCCCCTTGTCATTGATGCAGGGCGGACGGCCTGACAAGGACAGCCGCCTAGTCATTCGGATGGGACGAAAAAACGAGTTCCCGTGTACACATTGGCATGCACATAAAAGATCCCTTGGCAGTTGGAATTCGATATAAGATTAGGCTGTAGCGCTGCTCCCCGGGCAAAATTTCCCTCATAGCACACTGTATGGCGTATGCCCGTCTTCATTAGCCCAGTTTAGGAGCAGAACAGTAGGACGTTAGACCCCATTTCATTTCATTTCTGCCAGGCAGTCAGGACTGGCAAATATGATTAAATTGAGAGCCCTGCTTAACACTGATATTGTGCTACTTATTTACATAACTTATGTCCCCAAAAAAGTCTACGGCTCAGCCAATTCCACGACCATCGGGAAACTCGACATGCTTGTTCCTTGAACAAGCACTTCGATTGACAGACTTTGATGTCATCTCTGTTCCTAATCCATATAGTATGTTGGTATGTTGGTTGCATATATATTTGTTTTACAGACAGTAATAAAAGGTAGAAGTATGATACATGGTAGTGCACATGGTAGACAGACGTCACAACATTCACCACGTCATGTGATAGCTGAGTCAGGCGATAATATAACCCTAACAACAGCTAAACGTGTGACAAATGATACAGTTACAGCTAAAAATAAACAACCACCTAAAGTACATAAACATTATAAACATCGAAAAAAACAACATGGTATAGCACAGGTAAATGTAACAACATCATTCTATTTTATTTCTCATTGATTTGAAGGTTTTGCTCCGTAAAAATTTGAGCCACAGTGTATGGATGAATATGGTGCAGGCTCACTAACTAGGAGGTCCTATGTTCGATTTTCTTGTTGGCTGAGAAAGTTTCTTAGGATTGTCTAGCAAGGAAAAGTTTCTAGTCATTCGGATAGGACAAAAAACAAGGTCCCATGTACATGTAAAAGAACCCTTGACAGTTGCAATTTGGAGAAGAGCTGGCAGAAATGCTGCTGTTCATGCAAAATTTCCCTCATACGACATTGCATGATGTATACCCAGTTCATTAGCCCAGTTCATGTTGAAAAGTAACATGTTAAAGCTCATTTCATTTCCATTAAAATGATTAGACTTTGAATTAAGGTTCCTACTAGGTATAATTAGTGACAGGTGTTACGTGTATTAATTATAAGATAGCAGGCGAGGATTAAACCCCATTTTGTCAGTGCACTAGGCAGGAAATGCTAGCTCTGATTCCAATTTTAATTTACTTGTAGATTTTAGTTATAGATGGCTATAGTATCATTTTTTGTGTTCTTAAGATTATGTCTATAAATGAAATGGGGTTGAATGTTCTAACCGCCTTTTAAAAATGTAAGTTTAAATAATAAAAAAAAGTGTTGACAATTTTCTAATGATATTTTATTATATTGTTATTAGAGAAGATATACAGCTCCACCAAATCAAGCTGGATTAAAACTACAATCTGTAATAGGATATAATGGTGATGGTAGAAATAATATGGTCTGGCATCAAGATACAGGTAAATATAGAAATAAAGCCACACAAAATTTGTTTATTCTGGTTCTCAGGCAGTCCTTCCCGATGCATTTGGGACATTTTTTGTTTTTCGTTTTATTGAATGATCACTTCTTGGATAAATGATTTCTCATAAACATCACATTTTCAGGCACTACATTTATCTCATTATTACTGTCAATTACATTTATCAGGGTTGTGTATTTGATAATTGAGCCTATGGTAGATTTGCTAATTAATTAAAAATTCTTTTAAAGTGTTACTTTCTGTAACCAGGGAAAATATTTACATGTGGTAATTAAAGAGATAAATGGGAGTATTTGAGGAACAATATTTTTTTTATATGGTCTAATCTTAATATCATTTCATATTACCAGTTTGCAGATCATGTAAATAGCCATTTATAGAAAACATTTTCTTTTCATGTTTGCTACTCTATTTAGTGTTTCTTGGTCCAGAAAGTATATTACTATTCAGCTGTTACTATAAATAATGACCTGTTTACACCATATAGTAGTGCACATATAGTTAGAATTGGAAATGGAAGTAAAAGCTAGCCGTCCCTTGTAAAATGCTCTTCCTTCACACTACATCTATAACTAAAAAAAAATAGAATTATATTTTTCTAGTTTCAAAATGACCTAGTTTAAATGTTAGCAACATATAATATTAAACCCCATAAATTATTAAATATAATGTTATATTCGCAGGTTTATTTGTATATACCCCATAAATTATTAAACATAATGTCTATACTCACAGGTTTATTTGTATATACTAGTGGTTGTATCATTATCATAGAAGATTTAGACACTAATGAACAGAAACATCTCATAGGTAATATCTGTGTTTTTGTTTGATGTTCAGCTTTTTCTTGAAATTTATGTCTTTGAGACAGGAAATGTAAATATTTTTACATATTTATAAATAGTTTATTTCATCTATATATCTCAGCTACCCATGGAATATATATTTGTCAATAATATATGCGTTAACCCTTTAACACTTAGAATGAACCATATGAACGGATGTACGTGAAGCCCCCCAAAAACTAGTAAACGGTTGTGCAATACAGAGATGCTGCATAGAATACTGCTGTTCAGGAATATGACAACATGAAATATATCAATTCTCTCTGCTTTTTTTCAAAGAACCAGGGTAATCAATATTAACATGTATCAAGTGCTAAAGGGTTAAGGGCTAAGGTGCATATATATTATTAACATTTGAATAAAATTACATAAGTAATTGATTTTTTACTTTTTTTAGGTCAAACAGAGGAAATATCTACATTAGCATTACAACATGGTAATCAGGTAGGGTTTGCTTTCTTTAATAAAATACAATATACCAAAATTTGAAGTGAAATACATCTTGATGGGTGAAAATATGGATGACCTTTATACATTACATGTATAGGTCTTATTCATTATTTAGTAAACTAATTGGTCAGCAAGTCTCGCCAACGGTTGCCAGTTGTCCTAGATCCTCTGGAAGTTTTTATATAAATATAGATATTAGTTTAAACAGTGTTTTATTCAATAAACTGAATTGGATTGAACAATGGGCATAAACCTATAAAAGTTTTCTTTAAACACATAAAATAGTTAAATCTTAAATGATAGATTTTGTTATAATAATAGAGAATGTGAAAAAAAAAAGTGAAGTGGACAAAATTTACTTTTTAGATACTAGCATCTGGTAGTGGTAAATTTGATACAATAGAAAGTCAGATCTGTATCTGGGACTTACAACAAGGTGTTTGTAAAAAGGTTTTATCACATCATCAATACGATATTGTATGTATGGCTTTCTCTAGAGATGATAGATTTCTCGTATCTATAGGTAAGTCGAACAGACCAATCCATTGTTAGCATGCCTGTTTGAAAATTAATTAGAATTTATTGCTGAATTTGATTACTGTAAACAGTGATTGTCAGTGCTATTATTTGGTAATACACAAGTCATAATGCTGAACGATCTGTTGACCAGGCTTCTTCTACAGTTCTAGTCTTTATCAAGTAACGTCACTTAGTAATAAGCAGTCATTGTATTTCTAGTTCAATTACTAAATGCCATTTAAACAATTTAATATTTGGAGTGTTTATCAATGTAAATAATGTACAATGAATAAACCACATTACATTGATGAAGTTTACATCCAAGTGTATCTTGGGAGCCACAGTGAGTATGGTTCTGGCTCTCTAACCTTGGGTTTTCTAGTCTGTTTTCTCCTTGTTGATGCTGCTGGACAGAAAATCCAAGGTGGCTTGTATACCATTTCGAACTCATTAAAGATCCCTTGTCAGTTGGAAATTGAATTAAAAGTAGCCCGTAACACCACTGTCAGGGCAAAATTTGTTTTGATGAGTTGATTTTACATGATTGTAGAGAAAATATAAATTATTTAATTGAAATTATGTTCATCGTTGGTGTTATTTAAGAAAAATTTGAAAACACACTTATTCTTAGAGACTTTTCCTCAGTAAATACCTCATTCATTTTAATTTATACATGATAGTGAATTTTCAAATAATTTCTTGTCAATTAGTAATGATACGTTATGCATTAGAGAAATTCATAAGATTTTAAGTATATTTCAATGTTTACATGTATGTCTTATTTGCATTTTACTTTATTTGTTTTATTTGTATATTTAATTTATGTACCATATCCATATTTTGTAAAGCGCACAGGAGCCCTTAGTTGGGGAAGTTCTGCACTATAAAATGTACAATAATGATAATAATATTAATTTTATCAGGTGATTATCGTGAACGTAGTATAGCAGTATGGAGTACCAGTAATTATACTATCTTAACAACAACTATAACAGATGATCCTATACATGATGTACAGTGGGATCCATATTCTGTTAATGAATTCTCAACAGTGGGAGATAACTCTACTGTACAGTTTTGGTTATTGGATGAAACTATGTCAGAAGTAGCGTTAAATGTTCATGTAGCCGTAGTACCAAATGATCTTCTTAGTTCACATAATTTGGTGAGTTGTTTTCATATTTCTGAAGCTGGAACTACAGTGGCACAGTGGCTTACTAACCCAAAAGTATCGAGGTCGATTCAGGTGTTTTGGTTGAGAAAGTTCTTCACAATGTTCATATCCGTTTCCCCTTGCCATTGGTGCAGGCATGGGGAGACCTGGAAAGAAAAAGGGTTTAGTCATTCAGAAGTGACTACAAAACGAGATCCAGTGTTTATAGATCTCTTGACAGTTGGCAATCGAAATAAGAGTAAGCAAAATGTCCCTTATAGTACTGCATGGTGTATGCTTGTCTTTGTTAACCCAGTTACACCTTAAAGTAGATCAAGAGTTGTGGGTAATGAAGAAGCTATGGGCAATTTTCTGGTTGATATAATTGAATTATAATTAGAAATTATAAAAACAATGATTTATTTCCTGTCAGGGTTCTAATAAAGTATCATTCACATCTCTGGTATTTGGTGGTGATAGTACACTATATATTGGTACAAGTAATGGTATGGTAGCGGCCTGGGATACAAGACAGAACTCTTGTTTCATGCATTGGGAGGCAGATGAAACAGAAATAGGTAGGTCCTAATATTTCCCAATGAATACAAAGTTTTGAGAGGGATTTTAATTAGTTTGAATATGTTTTTAGTCCAAATATATCATCAAAACACACAATTTGTACGCGGGAAAGTATCTTTAAGAATAAGATCACTGGTCTGAATACATAAGATTTGGGGGGGGGGGGGATGGCTAGAATAGTAAAAACCTCAATAATATTTGAATACATAAGATTTCTGATGACTAGGACGATAATACCGTAAAAAATAATGTTACGGTAATTTTGTTTTGACAGGTGTATTATTATGTAATGGTAATAAATTGTTAACTGGTAGTGTAGGACGTAATGTTCGAGTCTGGTCTATAGATGGTATAAATGAGATGAGACAACCTGATGCTCCGAGAAAACTACAACAAGGTTTAACTATGGAAGATGAAATGACATTAAATGGAGCAGTAACATGTGCTGTCTTTGATCCTAGTCTAGAAATGGTATTGAGTTTATTTAATTTTGTAACTCACTCAACAATTGATCACTTTTTAAAGTGATAATTTATGATTAGCATGGTTGATCCTAGTCTATAAATGGTATGGAGTTTGTTTATTTGTGTTTCATAGGTTCAAGAACCAATTACTTATCTAGTTGATAATATAAAATGGGGATTAATGTACTACTTTTCTGCTCTGTTCGTATTTCAAATTTTAACTGTCAAGGGTTCTCGAGTATGTGGGACCCATGGTTTTTTATCCAATAACTCTTGCTTATATTAATTTTTGGCAAGTTCAAGTAGAATTGATTTTAAATTTGAGAAACTAATTACATATTTTAATGTTATTTATAGGGTATTGTTGGAACTAGTGCTGGTACATTATGGTATATTAACTGGACAGAAAGAACCAGTATAAGACTAGTATCTGGTCATATGAATAAAGTAAGCCAATAATTATCTATATGATCAAGAATTTCATGTCAAGGAATTTCTCGTCAATGTTACATCCAAATTTAATATTAAAAATTTCAAGTTTAGACACGAGATAAGTACAAATTATACATTTGTGTAAATATAGTAGCCCCTCTAAAATTTTCAAAAAACTTTCATTTCATTTGCAACATTAAAAAATTAGGGACAAAAAATTCTGACATCAAATTCTTAATCATATGAGATTTTGTTGCAGTGATATGAATTAAATGACTTTTAGTTGTCCTCATTTTCTTAAAGGGGGTTTCGGTGGTATAAGTCTAATATTGAATCAAATGGTATGGTGTCGACCCAAGGCCAGTAGGGTCACCTGTCCTACCACTTCGGGTTTCTCTGGGTCCCCCAGTTTCCCCCCACTGCTAAAGACTGCAAAGAGCAAGCCAATTTTGAAATGAAATTGAACCATATGTTAGTACCAAATGACCAAGTTTTTATGCAGTGGACACTAAAGCCCCTCTCTCTTCTCTCTCTGTCATATTTACTATCGTAAACTAGTGATTCTGGTTAGTTATCTTCGCCTAGGTTGTTTATGTACCTTGTCTTAGAGCTAGCCTTAACACATGAACAGCCCACGACCCAACATTTGTTATTACAACTTGATACAGCCACCTCAAGATTTCAACTTGCAGTTTCTCTGCTACTGCTGCTTGATACCTGTTCCAGTCCTGTGAATATGGGTTTAATAAAGTACATACCTAAGGATGTATCCACCCTTTTGTTACTTTATCTACAAGGGAATTAACAATCGCCCTATAATTTCTATCTAAAACTGGTAGTGGTTTATGAGCTGATTACCATTTCTTTAGGAATGTGCTATTTGGAAATATGCTGATATCATGTTATGTATGCCAATTTAGCCCTATCAACAACCATATTCCAACTACATGTTATGAGAAATATTTCTAGTAAAAGATAACAAATCACACTCTTATACTGAATTTATTTTTCATTATTATACTGAATTTATTTTTCATTATTATATTATGCGCAGATAAATGGTTTGAGTGTATGTAAGAATGGTTTATTAGCATCTGGTGCTGATGATGGTAGTGTTAGAGTATGGACTATTAAAGATAGAGAACAAGCTCTTCAATTCCAAGTTCTAGATCAGGTATCTGGGTTTTCTTTTGGTTATTAATAGCAATTTGTGGAAATGGCAGGACAAAACACAGACAGAACAAATGATATTTGAACACAGTACAGACAATACAATAAACCATGTATTTCATTTACACAAGAAATTGATTGATAGTAATTTTCTCTTTAGTAAATATTAAATAAAATTTGTCTCATTTCTCATCTTCTGGGAGTCACTGATGAAAAATATATTTCAGGGTAGTACTAGTATTAATAGTAATCTGCTATGACAGGATGCTTATTTCCTAATATTCATTGTTTATTATTGTTAGAAATGTACCAGCCTTGCTTTTGGTCCCTCTCCACAACAATTAAGTAAATCATCTAGTCCACCAGTACCGGCTGTAGTAGCAGGATTTAGCGATGGTACAATTAGAATGTTTGATATAAACAAAGTAGAAATGGTTTTAAAGATGCATCCTCATGCTGTAGCTGTGACAGCTATATCTTTCTCCTCTGATGGTAAGAATTTATATCTCTATCTATCATACTTGAATTCATTAAGTCTTTTCTTTTTGTGATGGATTGACGATCTTGTACTCATATAGTCCTCATTAATAATAACAGTACTTTAAATATATTATGAATACAATCATGCAAAATATATGCACACCTGTAACAATCCAAATAACTGACCATACAAAGAGCGATAGAATTTTCCTCAAAAAAGTCTGCTTTTAAACCCTTTTAACATCTCTTGTATTACACTTTGGAATGTAGTAGGAGCATTACATAACCCAAATTAATTTTGGAATTACATCTGGTAAATTAGATTACAATGAAGTTTTTTTTTTATTTGTACAGGACGTACAATAATATCTGGAGGTAAAGATGGTTTGATAGCTGTTAGTAGTCCTACAACTGGTTTAACCGTTAGAGTTATCTGTGATCATAAAGGTTCACCAATATCTAATATAGATGTCACTAATAGACAGGTACGATCACCAATATCCTGTATAGATATCACTAGTATACAGGTAGATTCACCAATATCCACATACACTTTAAAGCGCATTAGGAACTTTATCGAAGTATTGTTTGCACTATACAAATTCTGTGTTGATTGATATTGTAGTAGGGCGAATTTAAATTAAATCCAAAATAATTATTATTCTTACAATTAATAAATTCAGTCCATGGGTAAATGTTTAATTCCTCCCTTTTACTGTATCTTATTGTATTTCATATTTTCCTATATATTTCTCTAATCGCCTATCTCCGTTCATTTTTTCATCTTTTTATACGCCCACATTTTCATGTGGACATATTATGCCGTCGCCCCTGTCCATCTAGATGTCCGTCCGTCCACAATTTGTTTGTGGACACTCTACAGGTCACAATTTTTATCCGATTTTGATGAAACTTGAAATATATGTCTATCTCCGAAAGATCTTGGTTCCATTCAATATTGGCATGTATCGGACCATAACTTCATGGATTATGGCCCCTGATTGTACGAAAAATCACGTTTTAGCTTGTGACACCCTAGAGGTCACAATTTTCACCCGATTTTGATGAAACTTGAAATACATATTTATAACCCAAAGATATTGGTTTCTTTCATTATTCGCGCATATTGAACCATAACTTCTTGAATTATGGCCGCTGATTGTACGAGAAATCACATTTTTAGCTTGTGGTCCCTCTAGAGATCACAATTATTATCCGATTTAAAAAACTGTTTGAATATATCACCGTATTGTTGGTTGAATTAGAATTTCGTGAAAATGGCTGCCCCTCATACGCAAGTTCTTGGTTCCTTTCAATGTTCGTGTGTATCGGATCATAACTTCCTGAATGAGGTTGATCGTAGCCATGTTTGAAAATTTGGTTATGAAAAAAAAAGGCTCTTTTTCCGCGTACAAAATGATCAATGGGTCAGATCTAGTTATGGTCATTTTCCATAGCCCTAGGTCTTGACCGGCATGGAATCGGCATTGTTAACCAAAGAATATAGAAATGTTACAAGAGTCATCTTTTATTTTATTATTTATGTTAATTTTACAAGAAGTGTATTTGTACAATATGCTGTAAAAATATGCAGTATTATATTCTCTACTAAATATTCCTTATAAAATTAAACATATTTTCCTAACTACATATAATTATTTCGAAAACAATTCATCTATGTTATATACATGTATTACGACCATCTCTGTCACATTGTCGTTATTATTTTTAAAGGATCAAGATGTAGGTATAAATGCACCTTTATTGTGGTTGGCTAGTAGTGCTGATAGACGTGTTAGTGTCTGGTCTGCTGATTGGACAAAGGATTTTTGTGAGCTTGTTGATTGGTTGACATTCCCGGCTCCGGCATTTACACCTGATGGAACAATTATTGATAAAAATAACAAGGTTGGTATTTAGTAATTTACTTTTATTTTCAAATGTGGCTTACCAATCACCAAGTTCAGGGTTGATCCTGTTTGTGCCGAGAATATTTCTCAGGATTTGCTAGACTGGTTTCCCCATGTCAGTGGTGTAGGACAGACAGTCTGGCAAAGAAATGTCTAGTCATTTGGATGGAACAAAAAGACTGAGGTCCACCTGTGTATTTGAGGACGTTCGTGTGTAAAGAGCCATTGATAGAGAGTAGCCAGAAATGTTGCTTTCGGGGCAAAACTTTCAATAATAGCATACTGCGTGACATACACCTGAAACATGCAGAAAGTAAGATGTTAACGGCATTTTATTTAATTTACAATTACCTTGTAATGGTTTGTGGACAAGATATGAACTAAGTGTATATTCTTATGACCAAGTCCATGTACTATCTCACTTACATTTTGCCACTTTGCATTAATGGACTTTGAGTTGGGATACGTTTTAGGATTATGGTTCTGTATCAAATTAATATTTTCCCGTTTATTTCAGAAGCATCTGAAATCTCTACCCCCAACTCTAGCTCGGTTTTCTACTGAAGAGTCAGACATCATACTTTATGTTGGGTATGGCATGCAGAAACATGTTCAGTTTTATAGTCTTTCACAGAGAAAGGTAAAATAAACTATTACATAACTGGTATTAAAAATGTAAAAAAAAATTGGGACAGAATTAGGAGTTTGATTTCTGTTTTTATTCTTCTAGTATTACTGGGTCTGTGCAACATTTTAAATTCCTTAAATTTAACAACTAGCTTAAAGAGCCAGTAAGTTTTCCCACTGCCTTGAAGTTTGTCAACAAATTTAGAATCCCTAGAATGGCTTAGTACTCTTGGGTGTGCACTTTAGATGATAAGGTTTGTCAATGAGTCAAGTGGTGTGGTTTTGATCTCACATGTACATGTTTTCCACCACAGCTAAGCAAATTATTAAAATTAAATCTTGTAAGTCCTGAAATGACCTAGTCTTTCTCCCTCTCTCTTTTTCTTGGTAACTATGGTCACTCAATTTTTCTCAAATCCATCGCTAAAAAGTCCCTTTATTTATTGCTGTTTTTAACCTTGAAATTTTCTTCTACTGTGGTTTAATTTATATGCAAACCCTGAATCTCATCAAAGCATTTACTGAGGAGAAAACAATTGTTTTTAAGGACAAGATTTTTGATCCTTGTTTTGTGTAATCTATTTAAGGTGATTCGTACAGCTGCTTTAACCCACTGGGCAACTTGTTTAGAAACAGCACCAGATTCTCCTCTGATCGCTGTTGGTGTTAATGGTAAGATACATAATTTAAAAGATGGGTAATGAAATGGGTTTTAACATCTTACTTCGATTTCCAACTGTCAGGAAATCCATTTCAAACTGGCATGCTTGCAGTCATTTACACCAGAATCGAGACAGGAGTAATTAATCCTGACAATTCTGCATATTATTACACACACACACAAGTAAAGTGTGTAATCTAGGATTTTGCGTTGACAGCAAATTCCTCATCAAATTCCACTATCAAGGGTTCTTTTAAGAACACACCAACGTGTACATGTGCTGACATCATTTTTTTCGTCCGATTCAAATGATTAGGGAACACCTTACATATCAGCCACGGCATGACTCTTACCAGAGACATACTATTCAAGAGTGTAGTGTCCTTACCGCTGAACTATCAAAGTCCTTGTACAGAAATAAAGATAGCATAAGACGTATACCATATTTTTCTTATTTTTTAGAACGGCTATTAAAGTTGCTTGATTATTATGAGGGAAGCTTTCAAGACTTTACAGGTCATAGTGATATAGTCAGCAACATCAAATTTTCATTGGATGGCAAACTTCTGTTAAGTACTAGTTATTCAGAGATATTAATATGGGAGATTGCTGTATGATACCAGTAGGATACTTCTCTCTTGAAACTTTATTTAACATGTGCTGCAGTGTTTGTGTTCTAACAGAAATATATCAATTATTTATGTTGAATTTGCATTTATAGAAATTAACAGTTGTATGAAATCCACTAACTGGATAAAACCAGACTTCCATGAATTATTGATTACAAATATGCAACTACATGTATACTTCTAAGTGGATATACATTATGTATTTGCTTGTGGTGATTTGTTGGCCGATACTATAATTATATGAGTGAGTGTGAATATTGTGATATATTGGTACATTGTTACAGAACATTCCTTTACACATATGTTATGTGATATTTATAAGAATTCTATTAGTCCGTCCGATAATACAAAGAAGAAGTATATGATTTACATGAAGTCCCTCATCAATTCCTAATAGCAATCTTGCTTAAACTATAGAATTCGGAGTGATTTGCTTCAGTAACTGTCTCAAAAATATTATACATTTACAGTGCAATCCCGCTATAAAAGACCAGATGTTGAACAGATTATAAATTGATCTTTATACTCCCAGGATATAGATTTGACACATTCTTTTAGAAAACAGTTGGGTGAGTGACCCATAATACTGAGTTGATTGATTAGCGGGGATTTCACTGTACATGTATATCAAGTGTTCTTTTAGCATTTTACAAAAAGCATTATGTACATATGGATGGATTTAATTTAAATATTTGTACATAAGTGATAAACTTGACCTATTGTATATTTCTGCTCTGTTTTTACAGTATTATAGACATGTAAATATATTTAGCCATCCTGAGCTTGAATCTCTTCTAATGCATGATTTTGCTATACATGTATTTATAACCCATGATTTATTTAATAATTCACTTGTAAATAAGAAATAAAAAGAATATTTTATACTATTTCAAGATTTATTTTTGTTGAAATAAAATATTTATTATGAATTTTACATTTATAAAGTCTTAATGTCTTTCCAATATCTTAATCATAACCATTACTATAGTCCTGGTGTAGATTCATTAAAAATCAGGATTACCAACAGAATCAACTATGGTGATTGGGGGAGACATGGTGGCTTAGTGATGGTGATTGGGGGAGACATGGTGGCTTAGTGAGTGGGACTTATTTCATATGGTGATTGGTTGAATTAGTATCATATTCAGTTTGTGCATGCCTTGTTGCTCGATATTATCGTGTTTACTCGATTGACATCATTCAAACGATTAAAAGAATTCAATTTCAGAAGATTCAAAGAGCATCCACTTAGAGTTTCAAATGTTATATTTGACAAATGTGAAGGTTTGTTTAATTCATTAAGTTTGTAGATGGCCATTATGATATGGTAGGTTTAAACTGGACTGGACGTGGTTGCTTTAAGTTAACTTAACATTCACTGCTTAAAACCCCAACAATATACACAAATAAAACAAATATTCTATGAGTTTTAATATATACACATTTATTAATAACAATCAACAAAATTGTCTTCATCTTGTTCACCAGCTGTAGCTAATATATCATTTAATAAAGATACAGGATTTCTGTTATATTCATCACTTGTAGTTAACTTACTCTCCATATTTAAATCTTCTAATTTCTTTATCCATAGTAAAGAATTCTGTGTCGTGAACTCAATGTCATCATGAACAATTGTTAGAAATTTTTTGATGATGACTGAAGCTTTTTCACAAACCGATTGTTCATAGTCGTTAAAACCTAATAATAATGCTTCACAAAATTTGGAATTTAGGAGAGATTCTATGGCTTTCTGCTTACTGTTACCCGCTTTGTGAGAAGAACTGGGTAGTTCCAGTGCATATGGTGGCACAGTACCATTTTGAATGCTGCCATTAGTTTCAATGTTTGATGTACCCAGCACAAAAATACTTTCCCAAAAGTCTAAGATATGAATTTTTACTTCCCAATCAAAATCATTCATAGAACTGATCATGACTTCTTGTATTTTGGTTTTGAGATCATCTTCTAGAAGACCATGCTTATTTAATAGTTGAAGTGTTTTTACAGCTGATCTTCGAGGGAAAGCCTCACTGTCCGTCTGTAGAACAGTGACCAGTTTATTTACAATATCAAGCTGAAATAGTAAAAAAATTAAAACTCAATTACTTGATTGTCACTATTTGTAGGATGAAGTGTCTTGGTGAGTATGATGCTATCTCACTGTAAGCACACGTCCCAGGTTAGATCCAGGTGATGGCTGAGAAATGTCCTCGGGGATATTTCAGCTTTGTTTCCCGTTGAGAATGAGAGGACAGTGTATAACAGAGGGTATGGCAAAAAAGCATCTAGTTGGTTGGATGGAACAAAAAAAAACAGGTCCTGTTTATACTATTGGCAACACATTAAAGATCCCCTGATAGTTACCATTGTTCGGACAAATAACATTCAATCGAGTATCCCCTTAGTTTCACATGACTACAATTTGAAACTCATAACTGACTATTTCCAGAACTGTCCCCAATGAATCTTAAATCAAATCTGTTTATCATTGCATTTTTTGCTAACCTTTTTTATGTTGGTACATTCCAAAAACTTGTGAAACAGATCACCTGTTGTACTCAGAGTTCCAATAAGAGTTATAACACTAGCTCTGACATAACTATTACCATCTGATAAACTCTGCCATGATGATTTACATAAAGTAATAATAGAGGGACTGTGACTGGTCACTGGAAAAAGTAATTACATGTGTATTATTTAACCCTTTGACTGCCTGAAACCATGCCAGTCATGCGAATAGCTGTGAATTATATACTAGTTCTATAACTCAGGTGGTTTGAGGCTGAACATGCAATGAAATAAGCATATTAGCACAAGCATTACCAGGTTAAGATTTAGAATTATGTTTTGAATTCCGGTTCACTTTTAAAATAAAGGTACAGATGTGAAGATTTTGCATCAATTTAAGCATGGTTACTGAACATAAAGATTCTTTTCAGAAAGAGGTTTATAAAATCAAAAGCTTTCAGCATCTATGCAGCTGTTAGTTACCTTTCAAGGGAATAATGATTTGATTTATTATTTCTAGTGTTGTGTCTCTAATCTCCCATTTTAAATCACATAATTTAATCTCTAACATAGATACTAATCTCTTTATATCTAATGTACATAATTCATCCGACATCAGTAACAACACAATACAATCCATACACTTCTTGTACGCCTGAAATTACAATCACAAATTCAGTACTATTTTAACCCTTCTACTATAATTATTATAATAATAAAATTAGACCCAGTTACCGGAATGTATGAAAACTTTAACCCCTTAACTGCGTAGGGCGTTATATAACGTCCTGGACAACTGCCACTCACCGTGTGTAGGACGTAATATAACGTCCTGGAGGTATTTTCCCCAACCTATTCTTCGAACACAATCTCAGCATGTGTAAGACGTTATATTACGCCTGGTCGAGGAAATCTTATTGAAGGGAGACAACTGTATTTACCATTAGTTTTAATTTGGTTTCAGACTATCAAATTTTGTATTCAGGAATGAAAAGGTTCAAAATTAATTAATTATGCAATAGGGGGTAGTTAATGTTTTAAAAACTACACAGTTAAGGAATAAGTGGTGTGTGATAATCCAGTGACTGGGCCCTACATAATAGTAATTCCCTTTTAGTCCCCTTTTTACTATGGTCGTTGCTATTCTAGGCATAGAATATATAAATCTCAAAAATATACAGAAATGACAATAAATCTCAAAAATATACAGAAATGACAATAAATCTCAAAAATATACAGAAATGACAATTTAGTTTTCTTTAATAGATAAAAAGAATCATGAGCTACAATTGTAAAAGTTCGCTTACAGTGGTTGGTATCTGCATTTGTGTTATAGTGTCCACCAATATATTATAAAGTCTGCATGAGTAGTCTCCCTTTAGTCTCCCATATAATTCTGTTTGGGGAAAAAATTATAAGATTAACTTCCAAACAAAAACATAAAGAGACAGAGAAATGGGGTTTAATATCTATACAAGCCTTTGCATTTTTTCTTTATTTTTGGGACTAACATTTGGAATATCTATCTTTCATTAATTTATGTGAGTAGTCTCCCTTTAGTCTCCCATTTTCAAAAGAGAAATGAAACATAAGATTGACATCATCGGAGAGAGAAATGGACTTAAATGTCCACCCAAGACACACAACTAGGTTTTTAGGGGAGACTAGAATTGAATATAATCTTTATATCACTAAATTAGTTGTGACCACTGGGCAGGCCTCTAATGAGCTGTGGGTATCTCAAAATTAGTGACAGAGAGATGATAGAATTATTTACCTAATCTATCATGTAAACATTGTAATAATTTTGCCATTAATCTAGTATTGTTGATAATATAATTTTGATATTGAAATTCTTCATCTTCACAGGTCCCTTGAATAACATTCATTATTTTCATCATGAAATCTAACTGATCATACTGAAAAAAAAAACCCGAACCGGACTTAATTTTTAAACGTGGACTTTAGAAACGTAAGCTATATTGTAGATAGCAATCTTGAGGAAATAACCACAAATAGATTTAATGACCAAGTTTCTTTCAACCTGCTGATCTTCATTATGCATTTTTCCTCAACTTAATAATGTAGTTTGCAAGAGGTTCAAAATTCCTCAAATGAAAATAAGTGGCTTTAACATAGATAATTACTAAATGTCAAATATTTTAAGCATATATTATATGAAACATTATTTTTAAGAGAAAGTAAAAATCAATACACAGATGAAGGACTGTCTGTACGAAGCGGTCCTATTTTATTGAGTTTATAGGTAGATTGAAATCAAATACCTTTACAAACAATCATGAAGCATTTAAATTGAAAAAAAAACAAATTCACAAATGTATATTATGCCTGTCTGTCCCAATATTTAACAATACCGATCTTGTCTTACTTATAAAAGTACCTAACTACTAAAACCATTTACCCAATAATTTTCTGTTGTCCGGACACATATAAACTGTATAATCAATGTTGTAAATATTTGTTTAGTCATTTTCAGCTTTTTGTTCACAGTTACGGTAAATTCATTATCTTGGGATGAAAATATCCTTAAAGGTAGTTCAACATAATCTTTTAGATTTTCACACCATCTGAAATGCAGAAATTCAATTTGAACATTCTAAGTTCAGTAGCATTCTTTAAGAAGACCAATAAAATTTGCAATAAATGATAACTTTTCAATTCCATCATGATTATGAAACTACCCTAGTTTTCATCTCAATTTTTTCAGATCTAAACATACTGATATTCAGACCTAAACTTACTGATATTCAGACCTAAACTTACTGATATAAAGAACAGGATATTTTGTGAACACGAACCACATCAATTGACACATGAGTCTTTAATTCTTTTAAGACTGTTTTTTCCATAAAGCCATTTCTGTATGCATCATCTCTGGAAATATAAATAACACAATGCATTGTTTTGAAGAAACTTGAGTTTTAAACTCAGATCTTTCAAATAAAACTACATGTATTTGCATTTTATTATTACACAAGTTAATACCAATACACACGTTTCTTCTTTACCAAAATATACATGAATGTGATTTGACACATTTTGTTATTTATTTACTTATGGAAGCCAGTAACGAGAAGACCTTTGAAAATACGATTGATCATAAATATGTACACATCAGCATAAAACTCACGATTGTGTGGCATATTATCTTTAGCTTCCCCAAGACAAGCATAGGTTCCCCTGCATATGTTGAGTGGGATGCGAAACTTAAGCTGCTGGTTAGCAAGGCATCCCACCTCTTATCAATGTCAATGTTCTCCATGAATTTTTTGTTGGATCCCACTCACCCACAGCAGGACATCATTTTTAATGGACTATATGTATATTTTGTACTCACAAACTAGTCAAAATTGATTTCAAATTATCCAGTGCCATGTCTGTAACTTTATCAGATGCTGTAAGACTGAGGGAGAAGTAGGAATCCAAAAGTTTTGTTTTGTTGTTTTCTGTTGTAGCTTTCCAAATATATTCTGTTGTATTCACTTCATTAAACAAGGACAACAAGGACTGAGTATAGTTACTATTCACACTAGTGTTTGACTTAGTGATTACCATCTGTAGTTCAGTTATTAAATGACTGAATAAATTGTTAATATGAGATTCACTTTTGTCCTCATGGTGTGCATGAATTAATAATGTTTTAATTAAATTTTTAGCAGCCGTCTGTAGAAAAACACTTTCACCATGTTTCAGTCCTGTAAGTGCAAATTCTATGTTAACTGAAAAAAAGACAGAAACGTTTATTTTTTTAAACAGACTTTTTTCCTCCATCAAACTAGGTTCATTTTATCAATTAAATTTTCATAGTCATTTCTGTTTCTAAATCAAGCTCTTAAAATTCAATATTTAGAAGATACGAGCACCCACCTGATTTTTCAAAAAAATATTTGACACCCATTTTATGAAGAGCAATCTTTGATAAACACGTAAAATAAGCTGTCCCTATCGATGAATCTGTGGTTAAATTATGGTCTTTAACTTGTTGTAATAAACCATTTATAATATCTTTATTTTGGATAAAAAGATCTTCATCTTCTCCTAAATTACCACACAACAATAACGAGAAAGTTAAAACAGTGGACTCTATATCATTGGTTTTAGCAGTTACATCTTGTAGGAATTCTATCAAACCTGATGCTTCTAAAATTAATTCTTTATCTAGTACTGAAATAATAATAAAACTCCTTGTTAATTTATCAATAAATTTGAGACAATTCATTATAATACAATTTTCAACAGTCCCAGTGAATAAAGGGTTTATCAATGAAAAGAGTAGGAGTACTAGGATGGGGTTATCATGGACATAATCTGTTGAATTCAAATTTTTATAAAGTTCCTATTCTTACAAGATTACAAGGTCTGGATCATACTTAATATTTCATATTTTGAAATAACTTAATTAATCAACTTAATGATTTTTTTGTTTTTGTGGAATTTAAATCAATGCATTGTCACATCAATTGCTCGTTGCATTTCTAACTCGCAATAATTGCATATATCATCAGTGGCATTACCATAAACCTTTTATTATAGGGTCAATAGTGACACATGTTTTTTTGAAAATTTACTAAAAAAATGAGTTCCTGTTCATGAAATCAATCAAGTCATAGTGATAGATACAGAAAATAATACATCTTCATAAAGATAAACTGTGACAGATCTTATTAATTTGACGAGTCAGACCATTCAATTTAATGACGTCTAATAATCTTTGCAAGCAGGTGTCATCCGGGAGTTGTTTATCTATCTGTAAAAGATATTTAAAAACTTCTGCAAGCTTCAGGGTAATTTCTCCCATGTTTTACTACTTTCGATTGCAGTGAAAGGATAACTCTAAACACGTAATCTCGCAAGGGAGATAATAAAAGTACATCACGTGACTACGGCCATACTGTCGTCGCTCCGGAGGAGCAATAATTATTTCGTTCAAAACATCAAGAATAATGGCTTCTCGGGTGTCAAGAGGAATTGCCAGGACTATTAAAGTATGCCTTTCTTTAACTATTATAGATATGTTTTCAAAACTGTTCATTTGAGCTGCAAACATTCAGGAAATATGATTTGTCCTTGTGTTACGACCTTCCAACATTTCACAAAAACCGACGGCGACAGTCGGCCAAAAATCTGAACTCACAGAAAACTGATTGACCGGTTACTGATTGCCATTACTGTCGGTCAGTGACCGGTGTTGCATAGAAGGAATAATCAGATACATTTAAGACACCTATAAATAGTATAAGATTGTTAACTCAACATTCTTGATTTTACATCCTGTAGCCTACTGTCGATACGATAGTGACGCAGTTTGACATTTAACTTTGATCAACTAGGTCTAAATGTCGATCGTATTGATCACTTGACGAAAAGATGGGATATACATGTAAGTAGTGGCCAAATGGTTAATGCGCGGACGTTGCATCATAAGGTCTGTCATTGAGTCAAGTGGCGTGGTTTTGAATCTCCGCTTTTACGTGACAAGGAGTAAAAAAATTTTGAAGCCATTAGCCCAGGGCTAGTAGTCTATTGTCAGGCACTAGCCTGGCATTAATATCCACTAGTCCATAGTTCGACAAGGTACAAGATTTAATCTTCAATATTTGGGCTTATGTTTTGTTGCCTGCCAACCTTTTTTTTTAATAAAGATCGTAGACTTGCGATTGTCTAATAATTAAGGATGTATACAGCTACTTGGTTAACCGGTCACGGTTCGGTTGCACTGGTGAAACGGTTAAAAAAATTACAAACCGATATTCGTTTTGATATCATATCCGACCTTCAAAACCAGGAATGGTAGCCACAACAATGTTGTTTTTTTTCACTAAAGACCACATAAATACTTCGTATAGCACATGTCATTTGTAATGTATCAAGGTAAATTAACGTCCTTTAATTCCCGCTCGAAGAATTGTATAGGTTATGTTATTATTAGCACTTACTGCAAAGCACGAGATAGCCTTGACTGATTGACAACTTAATTGTTTTACTGTATTTATTAACCTGGTCACTCTATAAACAGTCTCCAAAGGAAACAAATCAGTTTGATGTGCTGATATAATATTTGAGAAATAAATGTGGGATGTTTTGCAGTTTATTTATCTATATCATCGTCACTAGTTTAATTCACAAACCGGTGAAAGGGCACTAGTCCAGGACTAGTTCCGCTAAATAGATCACTAGCCCGTAAGTTATTTTTGGTAGCCCCGGGCGTCGGGCTAGTGGATTTTTACAACCCTGGCCTGTAGGGTTACATTTTTAACCTCATGGGTTTTCTCTGGGTCCTCAGGTCTCCTCCCACTGCTAAAAAAGACCCCTACACACAAGCAAATTATTGAAATAAAATTGAACTGAAATGACCTATAGTTATTATTGCCAGCAATACAATTAATGTCCACATTCTCTTCAAATCAAATGCTATTAATTTAAATTTGAATTGGATTTCACTTGATTATAATTTAATTAAAACACAATTGTACAAGTTGCATTCATCATTTTAAATTTTCTATCAAATATTGCACCCACTTGACAATATGATGAATCATACAGAAGTTTTTAAAGTATTGCAAGTCGATAGACTTATTGCTTTCAGTACCGGTACTGTATTCAATGTTAAACTAATTAAAATGAAAGCCTCATGTTGAAATTACAATAGGATTCATCACAATTTATAAATATCATTCCTTTGACTTTGTTACAGGGCTCGCTAGCCTGGAGGTCGGGTGTTCGATCCCTGCATTGGCCGAGAAAGTTCATCCGGATTTTCCGGTGTGGTTCCCCCTTGTCAGTGATGCAGGGCGGAAGTCCTGACAAGGACAGCTGTCTAGTCCTTTGGATGAGACGAAAAACTGAGGTCCCGCGTATACATTGGAATGCACATAAAAGATCCCATGCCATTTGGAATTCGATATAAGAGTAGGCCATAGTGCCGCTGCCCGGGCAAAATTTCTCTCGTAGCACACTGTATGGCGTATGCCCGTCTTCATTAGCCCAGCATAGGAGCAGAACAGTAGGATGTTAAACCCCATTTCATTTCATTTTCATTTCATTTGTTACAGGGTCCTCGATTAGCCAATCAGTTTGCTAGCCAAGCTGCAGCACGACAATCAGATGATAGTTCATTAGTTAATCAGCCACCAAAGGTCTGTGTTTCTTTAGTCTTTTATAGTACTGTTTATCACTTTTACTACGACAAGCCATTCAATTGGTTGTTGTTTGTTTCTTATGGTGTCTATATCGGTATTTTTTTGTGTGTTATTTGGTCCTCCTGCACTTAAACTATTAGAAAATAAATGTAATTTGAGTTTAAATAATGTAACTAAAATGTGTGTCCAAAAATATCACCTGGCAAAACTGATACTCCTCGCAGTGTTTCATTTGATTAGAGCTAATCCCACTACTCACTGCTGTAAAGAAAGCAAATTCTTGTTCTAAATTATGACTGGTCAATAGTCCGATTAACAACCAATAGCTAACTGCGTAACAATACCAAACAGAGCTCCAAATTGGACCAAATATGTTTACATAACGTTACATCATGACTCACGCTTTTATTATGCCCAATTAACCAGTGCATACCAAAATATTGCAGAAAAACTTAATTGTGTGACAAACAAGGCTATCAACTGTCAACACGGATATAATGTAAACAATATTGTTTTGAGACGAACAACACTTTCACCATTTTTAATACCTTAAATCACTGTCCAAAGTTTTAGGGAAGGCCCCTGATTAAAAGAAGGGCTGTCATGTTGCTGTGTTTGGGGATAGATTTGATTGAATGGGCAGAATAGACACACTCCCTCAAAAGCGCAAGTATCAGAAGCTAATCCAGCAATGGCCATTGACAGATTTTTTTGGGCCATTGCTTCAGGAATATGGGCAAAACTGTGAATTGAAATTTTAAACTATGTTCTAGATGCTTGATTATAAACAAATGCTGAATTTGGAAAAGCTGAAATTTTCTGTTAGGTTAATCTGATTATGCATCAAGGGCAAAGTTATTTGATATATTTTACTTAGTCGTAACAGTTAGACAATCAATACAAATATCATGTTAAAAGATAAGTCTGAAGGAGGAACAAATGACTGTTTCTGCTATATTTCCAGCTGCTCTGAGATTTATTTTCTGTTGAATCTTTTCAATATCAAAACATTGAGAAAAGACTGTGAACTGAATCCAAATCTACATTCATGCTTCAATTAACCCTCAAAAAGGCTGAATGCTGTAACTCTTGTTGTAATGGAATTGTAATAACCTATATCAGTATATGTATTATATGGTACTGCAAAATATAAATATTCGGTTAGTGATGAAACAATCTGTTTTTTTATTTATTAACAGTTGACAAAGTTACCCAGTGGTGTTATTGTAGCATCAGTTGAAAACAACTCACCCATCTCAAGAGTAGCTGTTGCAGTTAATGCTGGATCCAGATTTGAAGATGCAGATAATTTAGGAATAACCCACTGTTTAAGAGTAGCTGCAGGCCTTGTAAGTATCGACATGTCTTTAATGTGATATTCACAAGAATCAGCTTACTGGAAATAAACATTTCAGACAGTAAATATTTCTTGTGAAGTATGGTCATTATTGTGCATATAGTAGAAATGAGGTGCTTCCGAAATTCAATGTGTATAAATCTTATACTTAAAAAAACAAAAATATATATACCAATTTTCTGTGTAGAAAGATAAAACTTCTGCTTTGGGATTATGATTAATGTTTTGAAAAATGTTATCTTTTATTCTAAGGTTAAAATATTATTACTTTACAGACTAATGCTAATTCAACCAGTTTTGGAATCGCAAGATCTATTCAACAAGAGGGTGCCCAATTAACGTAAGTTACTACAGATTTTGAAAATTATAATTATGGGCAAGTTAGTAAGTAATATTGACTAGTGCACATGCTAAAACATGATCAGTGGTTGACTTGTTTAATTCATTCTGGGCATAGTACTGTATGCATTTGATTGAATAATTTGGTCCTTTCAATTATCATACTTTCAAATAAAATCTAGTTTAGAGAGTTGAATATATTGAGTTTTCCTGGCCATTACAAGTATCATACTTTACAAAAAAAATAATATTAGAGGGTCAAACTCGAACAGGTGTCAGGCCCAGTGATGGTTGAGAGAATATATCTTATACAATGTAATTAGGGTATATTAAATCATTGTACTAGTATATTAATTGATATTTCAGTTGTACAACAAGTAGAGAATATATATATTATACAGTTGATTGTATTAGAGACAATGTGTAAGTATAATAAAATAGCTTTATATATATATTGTATCACAATCACTTTATTTTGTGACTATCTAGCACAATGATTACATATTGTCTACATACAAAGCTTATTGCATTGGCTAACTAGCTCTGCTGCATACCGATAGTTTGAAATTACAACCTACATTATTTTAGTCAAAAAGAAAAACAAGTTATTGTCATTAAAATCAAGTCTTTGAATCAATGTCAGAAGAAAACATTGTCAAAGCCTAAAAGTGTTGTGTAAAATCTTTTGAAGCCAAGTCAGAAGATTATCTAATTGATTATTTAGTTTTGTTTTCTTAATTAAAGGTTATATAATCAATTTGTTGAGTACATTTTAAGCCATGAAAAACTAGATATTGACATAAAAATCCAAATGAGAATCAGTGGCTTTCATATAACATACGCAAACACATAATATTTCAAAACGGATTTAGTTATCTTTTATGAAATTGTTCTTGCAGAGAGACAAAACAATAAGACTTTTATAAAGTAGTTTGTTTCAGAATAAACACATTATGATTTTATGAAATTGTTCTGTTAAAGAAGACAACACAATATTATTTTTTATGAAATTATTTTGTTACAGAGACAGCACGATAAAATTTTTACGAGATATCACAACTGCTCCAGCTTTTAAGAAATGGGAAGTTGCAAAACTTGGAGAGAAACTGGAAATAGATTTGGCTGCTTTTTATCAACAACATGCAGCTAGTGAGTAGATTGAATTATCATCATATCTCTTAATCCATTTTGAAATGAACTGGCAATAATTGTGCCAACAGAGATTTTGCATCCTTCTGACAGTAGTGTCATTAAGCTTCCATTCTCTTAGTATGTGTCTTCGTGCATTCGATGAATGATGCCTGATAATAATAAAGTCCATGGCATTGTTCAATTTTCTCATGAGGATGTCAAATTAGACATGATGTTCATGATGTGGTTTTGACAAATTGTTGGTCATTACTATAACTAATAACAACAGATAGATTGCATATACAGATGGATGTGGCGTTATGATGACATTGTAATATTTTTTTTTTCATATTACTAGTGAACAATTCTCTTTATAGGATCATTTGATCTTCTTCACCAGGCTGCATTCAGGTCAACATTAGGTCGCTCACTTTATTGTCCAGAAGTAACTCTTGGTCGTATTTCCTCAGAACAGGTTCGTTTTATTTTCTGTTCACAAATAAGGATTCTTTCAAAATTACTATATTTTTTTCTTTGTCAGACAATAAAAACTAGAATAGAATGAATAATTACTCATTTAGAAAAAATATCAGAAATTTCATATTCAGTTAATAGACATTCATGTTTTAAAATTTGGATAATTCCATGTCAAATCACTTGTTGTTTTATTTTATAGTTGTTAAATTATGTACAGACACATTATACTAATGGTCGTGTAGCTATTGTTGGAGTGGGAATTGATCATGATCAACTTGTAGATGAAGCCAACAAATTCAACTTTTTCCCTGCTGGACCTGTAGCTGCTGAAAAAGCTACATATGGAGGAGGTATTTTTTATATTATATATTTTTTATTCGACATACTCTGTATGCAATTGGGATATTACAATAGCTCATTGAGTTTGTTGCTGACTCACTAACCAAGAGGTCCTGGGTTTGACTGATAAACTTCTTTGAGATGGTTTCCTCTTGTCAAATGAAATGTATTGGGGTTTTGTTAGTGGTGTGCAGGATGGAGAGTGGCAAAAAGCATCTAGTTGTTCAGATGGGATGCACATAAAAGAGTAAGTGGAAACAGCACTGTCCGTGCTGTAGGAAAAATATATACCTCATAGCACACTGCATGCTGTTTTTTCCATCTTCATTTGCCCCGATGGTGCAGAAAAAATTACAACACTAAACTATTTCATTTCTATATATAGCTACTGAGATGAAATAGAAATAAAGTGAATAGATAAAAATAGACAGTTGAAAGACAGTACGTCTCTTACAGCTTTTCATTTAAATAGTTCATTGAACAAATGTAATTTTTCTACCATTGTGATGATACACTGGAAATAAAATATAGTCATAAGGTGTAGTCCAAGGCTCTGCCTTAAAAATTTTGGCAGAAACAAGAGCTCTGGTGTTTTCTAACACATAACATTGAGTTGTTTTGCTGTGAAAAAAAGAGTGAGACACTATACTGTTACTGTCATATATACAGTTTGTGATTTAATGGGGAATTATTACTTCATAGGGAACACAGCGAAGTTAAATATTAAAGATTAGTAATGTTTGCTTAAATGTTTGCAGGTGAGATTCGTATTAACACTGGATCAGGACCCACAGCTGTCTCTGTGGCTGTGGAAGGGCCAAGGTAATAAAATAAACTACCATATAATTATTAGATTTTGTTAATTTAGATTTCTTAGAATTGATGATGCAGAACCCTCTATGGTGCTAGCAGCACTTCGGGGAAAAAATCAACTTTGGGACTTACTAACATATTAAAAACAAACCGGTCAATATTTTTTTATGGTTAGTTACATATATCTGTTAAAAGATGAATCTATTTCCATGCTATATCTTTACTGTATAAATAACTAGCTTCCACTCCGTATTTCAGTCCCAGATGTTTAGCCAGATACACCCTCTACATCCTTTATTAAAAGATTTTAAAAAATGTTTCAAAATACCACATTTTGCGTATAACATTTGATTTGACGTTTTTGTACAATACCAATGATTTTTCACCAAATTTATATTTTGGATAAGATCTTTTGACCCTGCAGCCACTATATTTTAGTCATCTAAGTCATTTGTCAAATTGAATAATAGATTGAAGTTTTAATAATTGTTATCCTTCTGTTTTTGCTGCTAGTTATTTACCCCGTAGTAAAGGGTAGGAGACAGTTGTTGTATATCAGCATGTAAATGTTGTCTGCATTTATTAATACTGTTTATTTTATTTTTTTCCTTCTAAATTTTCTTGAAATGTGGCTGGTATGGCCAATTTTGAAAATAGAAACATGTACAAAGATCTCAGTCGTTAAAGATTTGCTATATTTTATTCATTATCTTGTATTGAATACTTGCTATTATACATACACATGTAGTCTGAAGTGTAAATTGTTTTGCCTTTAACAAATTATAAAGGGAAGCTATTGAATGTTGCAGTTTCCCACACTCACCTTCATGGTTTTTCTTGTTTATTTTGTTGTAGTTTTATATTGATGCTTTTGTTTTTGCTGTTAAAACATTTAGAGGCCAACGAAAAAAAAACCTTGAGAATGACATAATCTGTACATTTTGAAGCCACTATTGTACTTTACCAATTGTAAGAGAAGAATGTAACAATACAAAAGTACAAGAAATGGCTACAAAATGTGAAAATTGTTGCAGTCTTGTAGTGTAAAGTTAAAACCGACAATAAGGAAATAGACAAATCAGAATTAGACTTGTGTTACGTTCTTATGTAATTTCTCTTTTATTTTATTTCTCTGTCTTTTATTTGTTCATAGAGTAAACTTAGTGATGTTAGAATATAAGTTGTATCTGACATGTTAGGGATATCAGTATATAAGTTGTACCTGTCATGTTAGTTATTGCAATGTCTGCATAGTTTGTCTTGTCTGCAGGTTTATCTTATCCATTTTGTTTGTTTGTAGTGTGGTCCTCCTGCACTTACTAATATAATAGTATATCCTGACATGTTACTGATATCAGTATATAAGTTGTATCTGACATGGTTTAATTTGTACTCGGGCCTGCAATAAATAATCAGTTTAAATCCAGATAATAATCTGTACCTGACTGAGGAATTATGCCCCTAAACAGTGATAGTTGGCTTCTTCCCAGGCCTTTAAATAATATAAATATCACATAAGAAATAACGATAAATAACACACAGCCACCATATTATTTTCTTAAAGTTGTATCACATACAAAGATTTAGATTCTATTCCAGATTGTCATTACTCAGCAAGCTCTTTGGTGCATCAGTTCAGTTATAAAAAAAATTATTTTCTTCTGCTGAAGCATGAAAAACTGTATGATTTTTGGCTACTGCAGCTAATGCTATTTATTGGTTATAATATGGATTACGTTTTGATACAATTACACAAATGTAATAAAGAGGAAATATATTAATTTGTAAAGTTTATATTTAATTGCAAAAAAAACCCCAATGTTACAAATGTCCGGCTTTTGTAGATTCTTTATATTTATTCACTTTCTTGTAATAAAAAAAGTTATCAGTTATGTACTGTTTATAAACTAAACCATGTGCTCATGCTTTCGTTCTCTGTATACACATTGCTATAAATACACTCGCAAAAAGGTTGGTTCAAGGATTAATATAGTATATGATACTTGGTTTGCTTGAGTGGGCGACAGTTACCATCATGACTGACATTTTAATTGGTTAATTATAGAAAAGATTTCCTTACTAGATAATGAATAAAGTATTTTAAAAAGTCTGCAATGACTGGTCCTTTACTTCAATAATCTATAGTAGATTTATTTTTATTCTATTATGACCTTCATGCTGTCTCTAATATTTATAACAAGAATAGCCCCCAAAGCCTACTCCTTTTTGCTATGCCACATATAATAAAAGTTATTTTGTTATGTTTCAGTTTGGCTGCTAAAGATCTGTTACATGCTGGTGTTCTACAGTATGTGATGGGATCAGGTCCATTTATTAAATATAGTAACGATTCCCTGGTACCACGACTTGGACAAGCTGTAGCTCAAGCTACCACAGAACCATTTTCTGTAAGTATTTTTTGAAAAGAAACTGGGCTAATGAAGACCGTCATATGCCTATTCTCCATCAAATTCCATGCACGTAAAAAAACCCTTGACAGATGGAATTTGATGTAGGCTATAGTGCTGCTGTCAGGACAAAATTTCCCTCATAGCACACTGCATGGCGTATGCCTGCCTTCATTAGCCCAGTCGGTGCAGAACAGTAGGACGCTAAGCCACATTTCCATTCATTTCCTTTTACATGCACACCAACATTTACACAGGACCTCGGTTTTCCGTCCCATCCAAATGGCAAAGCACTGTTCCTTGCCAGACTTTCTTTCCTTACCAGACTCTCCTTCCTGCACCATTGGCAATTGGGAAATATACAAAATATGGATATGTTTTTTGTCAATGGATTAAAATAGCAAAATAATTTCTGTGTGCAAAATAAATCTGGCCCAGAGACCAAATTCAGGAAAATTATTGACTTATTGAGATTTGACTTTCAAGAAAAAAAATAAGCATCTATAGAATATGTTCCAGCAAATTTCTAATATTACATAATATCAGTATAACAGATTTTTGTCTTATTTTTGTATAGGTATCATGTTTTAATGCTAATTATACTGATGCTGGATTATTTGGATTCACTGCCATTTCTCAAGGAACAGCAATAGAAAAGGTAAGATAACAATTTAAAAAGTTGGCTAGTGACTCGACCAGTAAACCTTGTTTTCATTTAATATATAGGACAATACTGTGTATGTTCAATCTCTAAAAAAATATCAGTCCAAAAATGTTTCAATTCCATTCAGTATTTACAAAAATTGTGATGAGCTGCTGCTTTTTAATCAAAATGAATTAAAGTCAGGAAATTTTCCACTTTGGTCAGGTTTCTTAATTAAATGCTAAGCAATTTGAGAACATTTTAGCATAGATAAAGTTGAAAAATTAAATATTGTCGTACGATCAAGATCAGTGATTTAAATTCATACGTTTTTTTTTTTAATTGAGTGAATGGTTGATATTTGTAGGTATTGAAGTCAGCATTCAGTCAGTTTGCTAGTGTAACTAAAGGCGGTATTACAGATAAAGAAGTAGCTAGAGCTAAGTAAGTAAATACACTAAGAATCTAATTATACATTTCAGTAGTTTACAAGATTTAATTATCGCATGGTCATGTTTAGGGTGTTTCCATTTAAAAAATACCTTGGGAAGTGGGACCAAGCAGCTACTTGACATTTTCTTTTTATGGGTTGATATAATATACATGTGTTATGTTGAAATAGATGGATGTCAACCTCCCGACAATTCCTGGCTGGATTGACCGAAACAATATGAATCATGTGAATAGCTGTGACAGGGGTGGTCAAGAGAGCAGCAGTTTTTGGGGGTTTGAAACTGGGGTAGTCAATATTTACATGTAATAGAGGGATATGAAAAAAATCTCCAGCAACAAAATCTGTTTTTTAAATGATGAAACCGCAAGTGCCACTTGAAAGTTTGTTAAGATCAATATATTTGAGTGTGCACTGGTAATGTTTGTTAAAATCATTATATTGTACTGTGTACCAGTAATGTTTGTTAAAAACATTATATTGTACTGTGTACCGGTAACGTTTGTTAAAATCATTATATTGTACTGTGTACCGGTAATGTTTAAGATTATTGGAGTGCATAATGTGTGTTAAGATTATATTAAACTATATAAGATATATTTATTGGTGTTATTTAGGAAACAGTTGAAGGCATCATTGTATTTCTATTTGGAAAGTGGAGATAATTTACTGACTGATTTAGCTGAACAAGCGTTAGGTCATCAACAAATCGTCAATCCAGAAGAAATTGCCAAACAGATTGATGCTATCACCACCAATGACGTAGTAAATGTAAGTATATTGAGATTTTTAATTCTAAGTTTTGGTCCGATTTTCACGAAATTAGAGAGAGGGAGAGAGAGAAATGGGGTTTAACGTCCACTCCACACAAACTAGGTCATTTCGGGACCAACAATTTTATTTCAATAATTCGCTTGCACGTACAGGTTTTTAGCAGTGGCAGGAAACCAGAGGACCTGGAGAAAACCCATGAGGTTGGACAGGCGACCCTACTCCTTGTCACGTACAACTGGGGAATCAAAACCATGCCAGTTGACTCAATGACAGACCTGATGATACAGCGCGCACATGCTAATCATTCGGAGACACAGATTTGTCAGGCCCACAATATGTTCCTCAGGTGCCAAATCATTAATTCTTAATCTAAAATATTTGTCAATAAATAAAAATATGTTATGAACTCTGTACTAAGCTTTAAATGAAGTCACTAGGTTTGATGATGAGAATCTATGTTTAGGATAACCAATTTGATTTACTTTGGTTCTAATTGAGTTAAAGTGATGAAACTTGGTTTATTGTTTTAACACACCACTACCTGGACTTTGTCCCATTATACAGAGCTATTTGATTGCTTGATGCTTATTAAAGATATTTTGTTTTATTTGTAGGTTGCCAAGAGAATCATCAATAGTCGACCATCAATGGCTGTTGTAGGAGATACAGCTAGAACACCATATATTGATGATCTATATCGATAACTATGTATACCCATAGAATATCTGGTTAAAGACGTATAGTGTGTGAAAACTAGACTTTTAACATCTAAAATTAATATCATTATTTATGTGGACTACATGTTGTTCGGTTTAAATTTAATTTGAAAATATAGAAAATCAACGCTTAATAAAATGTTAAAATATATTGGACTTATCTGTAGAGTGGGATAGAAATGCAGTTGGGTGGTCGTGTCATTGAGTAATTGGCATGGTTTCGATCCCAGGCTTGTATGTGAAGATTATGGTTGCCTGTTCAACATCGTGAGTTTTCTGTGAGACCTCCCACTGCTAAAGGCCCACATGCACTAGCTAATTATTAAAATAAAATTTACCAATGTTAGTCCTAAATGTCCTAGAAACGGAGCTCAACATTGCCACATTTAAAAGGCCAATTTATATATAGGATTATTTTTGATTTGAAACATTTAGGAGTGAAATAAGAGTTTTAAAAATGTCTTGTCAACGCAACCATACCTGGTTCATTCCACCTAAATTCCATACATACAGTTCACTTCTTCCATAATAGATACATCTGGTTTATGTTTTTATTCATACAAGGATCTTAGGCTTTAATAATTTCAACAAGACTGTCATCATCATCCATTGTCCTTGTATTCCAAATCTAAGTCAAATTTGTTTCAATGACTTTGACAAAATGCAGATGCTCAGGAAACAAAAGCAGGACAGATGGAGTCTATTTATAATATCCCTTCTTTCAAAACATAATCTGAGCTGTACATGAGTCGTCACAATAAACAAATATTAAATGCTGGTATATAAAAAATTTATTTAATGATCTGAATTAAGGTGAGAATATGTACAATGTAATGTTGATATAAAATTGTATTAGTTTGATTTCAATGTTATCTTGGTTCATAATTTGACACACCTCGATGTATGGGTGTAAAACCACGTCCCCTAGTTGAACCTCTTCCTCGGCCACGTCCACCCCTAATTCCTCCCCTGGAATCCCCCCTACCCCTAGAATCACCTCTACCTCTAAAACCCCCTCTTGCTCCACGACCCCTCTCACCCTTGTTGGTATGCGGAGGTGATTTTGGTCTTAATCTTTCTATCTCTTCTGTGCAGCCTGTGACAGCTGAAAGTTCATTTTCAAACATACTCAAATAGAGGTCGGGTTCAAAATTACTACTAGCCAGTTCTGAGCCTAGTGTTAACCACCCTGGTCTGGTGGTACTGTCACGTCCAAACAGATGTAACCGCCGTTTACCCAGACAAAAATGTTCAATCATGTGAAATATTTCAACAGGTTTGTCCTTGGTCCCATATTCTGGTTCTTCTTCAATGATGAGATCTATGTCCACGTTAGCGTGTATAAAATCACCATCAGTACTCCTTTTAACAGTTCCTTTTATACCCATTAAACAATGTTCCTACAATTATACACATAATACATACACTTTAATACCCATTAAACAATGTTCCTACAATTATACACTTTAATGCCCATTAAACAATGTTCCTACATTTATTCAAGTAATACCCATGAAACAATACATATATAAATTATTCATACACTTCCAGCCACAGATTGTCATTTTGGTTTGGGTTTTCTTTGTAAAATGTTAATTAATATCTAAAAAATTAGATATTGCCTGACAAATGCAAATGACCATGGTAGTGACTTAAAAAGAAGTACAAACAGATTGAACTGTATGAGAAGATCAATTGAATTAAGAAACTGAAAGGATGTTTGATTGAACAATCTAGAACTCTGGGGCCTGTTTCACGAATTTTTAACTAAGATAAAATCCAAATTTTAGTAATTTGGTTGGATAATATTAGATTGATTTTAGTGTTTAACCAATCAAAATTGAAGTATCTATTAAAATTTGGATTTTATCTTTAGTTAAAATTTCGTGAAACAGGGCCCTACTCTTTCCATATAAACAGTAACAATCAAGTAAAACAAGAGAATTATGAGTGAAAGCATGCCAACTGAATAAGAAAAAACATCTTCACCAATCACACATGTACGTTTGTTGTACTTGATTATGTCATATTTGTACTAGCACTGCATCAGTTATAAGAACAGAGAAAACCTGTCACACCTTAGATTAGATATATCAAACTATGAAACTTGTATAATACTGGTCTATATTTACCTTTGTTCTTTGAAATACAGCATTTGGTTCAAGATTTTTCTTGTGTGTAGGATTTTTGATGTTTGTCTTGATCCAGCAAATGTCCTCACATCTTCTAAATCCCCAACGTTTAAGACACTTGGATATAAAACAATATTAAATTTTAGAAAATTGAACACAGATGAATATTGGCAAATCGCACTCTATTATCTTTTGCCTGCCACGGAGACATGCAAATACAGTACACATTGAAAGGCCAGTCCTATTATTGCTACATGTATTGTGTTACAGGAGCCATGGTGGCTCAGTGAGTAAGGCACTGGCTCGATAACCTTGAGGTCCTTGGTTCAATCACGGTGTTGGCCAAGAAAGCTCTACAGCATTTTCTGGCATGGTTTTCCTTTGTCAGTGGTGTATAACAAAGAGTCTGGCAAGAAACAGCGTCTTAGTTAGTTGTTTGGATGGCACAACTGAGGTTGGAGCAGAAGAGTTGGATTTTAAACCCATTTTCATTTACTTTCATTTATTGTGTTACATTAACTTTACCATGTACTATCTTAATGGTAATACAGGGATAAAGTTCCTTATTCCATCTTGAGTGAAGAATCAAACATGGATCCATGTGGTCACAGAAGGAACTTGCTACTTCCATCCGTCAAGTCTTAGTATATATATTATATATTCACCTGTCTTCCTCGATCCAAGCCTTCAGCATTTCCACACCAAATCCATAGAAATGATCTTTGAGCTGCTACAGCTGCTATATCTAATCTTTCAATCTGTAATAATAATTTACTTGAACTCATTTTATACCAAAATAAGTTATAACTACAGCATCTGTATTTAATCAGAGGGAGACTCAGTGTGTATGGCTCACTGATCAGGTCAGAGTGGGACTCCATGTGTATGGCTCACTAATCAGGTCAGAGTGTGACTCCATGTGTATGGCTCACTGACCAGGAGGTTTAGGGATAGATCTCAGTGTTGGCTGAAAAGTTCCTTACGATTTTCTTTCTCAGTGGTACAAGATGGAGGACTTGGAAAGGAAAAGCATCTTAGACATTTAAATAGAATGGAAAACCAAGGTCCAACTCCAACTATGTACATGTTGGCCATGACAGTTGGAATTCAACGAAGAGAAGGTGCAAAGGTCTGGGAAACATTTCCTTACAGCACACAGCGACAAGTCTTTATTAGTCTACTTGGTGCAGAAACGTAGAATGTTGAACTGCATTTAATTTATTCAATTTGAAATTCATTTGGACTACTGCATTTAACTGAATAGATGGACAAACACATCCATTATTTGACACCATAAAAAGAATACAGCACTACAAAAAATTGGGACTAAAAAATCTTTGCTGCACTGCATTTGTCAAGTAATTAACATTCTGTGCCTTGCATTTCAAAAATTATGTCAAATTTGTTTCCAAGAAAATGTGAATATTGTTAACTCTAAGTAATGTCTAATTAGCAAAAGGCACAACTATTATATACAATAATGGGTTAATGTGTGTACATAGCTCCATAAAGACACCCCTCCCATAAATTTGTTCATCTGAGATAAAAATACAATAATCTAAGCTAACCTCATCCCAGCTCCAAAATCTGTCAAAAACAGCACCTTGTGTTCTTTGATATTCTTCTAAAGGTGGTTCAATTAGTATAACATCAAATTTACACTTCAAGTTCCTCAAGTCATATTCTTCTAGATCACATTTTAAATACCTGTATATAACAATATTAAATAGATGTCTCAAGATTATTCTAACAATAGTTATTTTGAAACTTGAAAGAAGACAGTACAATGAAAACCATCTACACATTATCAAGTTGAGAAAGTTCTACAACAAATTCACCCTTGACTATAATACTATAGAGCTGTTTGTATAAAAGTTATGAAGAAACCAGAATAAGAAGCAACCTCGGAATAATATGCAGATGCACTGACTGCATTTTTTCAATTGTTGTTGGACCAGTGACGGCTTTAAACTATCTTAAGTTGTTGTTGAAAATGTATAATTACATGTATTGATATTCATTCCCATTACTACACTGACTTGGATTTAATGTACAATTCACTTACATTGGAGGAGTGTTGGTTTTTTCAATTAATTCATCTTTCAATCGAATCAACTCTCGTAATTTGGGATATTCTTCAAATCTATTAGCAAGTCCTACAGAATATATCAGAAATTGCATTTTACAAGTGTGGTTCCATATTTTTTTTTTTTTGGACAAAAATGGCTCATTCTATAAAGAAATGAATTTAACAAAAAATATGAATAAAACCAGTATATTTAAGTTGAAGAAATTTCCCCACTATTAAATAATGTCCAGAGATTTTTATGACAGCATGTGATCATTGTTTAGATGACATCTTAATTCTATTCAGAATTTCCAGGTTTTAATGAATGGATATTCAACAATAATAGTTTTAATACAGTCCCAAAGTTTCATTCAGTATTTACAAAGATATGATTAATTGAAAATATTTCAACATCTGCATCAACTGCAGATAATATATAGGAAATATTATAGTCCACACTGGCCAGTGTGAACTGTCATTTTTGCTGAAATCTTTTGATGGGCCTCTTTATAATCTACTTGAATCCAAGCTGGGAGATTATCTACTGTTGATATTTTGATTCTGTTTTCTACACTAAATACTATTTTTGCTTGATAAAGACAATAGTATCACCGTCAAAACCTAATTGTTATACCATAAATAGTATTCAGTGTGTTACTGTTCAATTTCTAAATGCCACCTAAAGAAGTTTTTCATTATTTAAATATCATCAATTTGAGTACATTTAGTATGGATTATCCCGTCGAAAATTTGACATTGTCCGAAAAATGCAAATGATCAGCGATTTTAATAACACTTTAAATATAATATATTTTGTAAAGTAAATCAAAACAAACCAACTTACCAACATCACGAATAAAGTTTTGTGGTCTTTCACCCGTATCAACAAAATGTTGGCAATAATCATTGTGTGGGTTAGCACTTTGTGTTCCCTGTGTAAAACAAATGAAAAAAAAATTAAGCTACATGTAAGTAGAACAATACCAAAATCTATCTTGAAAAGCCCTAGCTCTTTGAGCAGAGTTATAATAGGGACAATTATTGCTAAAAACCAATATTTGCTTTTTGTATTAGTTGTAGTAGCTGTTTTGTTAACATCTGCATGTACAGTAGGGGTATTGCGAACAATTTGAATTTTGCCGATAAATAGGATTATTTTGTTTTATACATCTGCTTCTACTGTAGGGATGTCGCAGACAATTTGCTTCTTGTCAATAAAATGGGATTATCTCCCTTGACACATTAGCATAATTATGAACTAGAAATGAAATGCAATGGAGGTTCCATGTTTTATCCCAGTAATTTGGCTGCGAAAGTTCATCTGGGTTTTCCGGCATGGTTCCCCCCCTTGACAGTGTTGCAGAAAAGGGAGCTTGGCAAGCGAAAACGTATAGTTGTTCGGATGGGTCGGAAAAACAAGGTCCCATATACACATTGACGGACATGTAAAAGAACCTTTGTTTGTCAATGTTTAAACACAGATTTTGTTGGAAGTAACAAGGTTTATATAATTTCATCGCCCATTTACATTTTTATTACCATGAGTGATTCTGTAGGTAGAGGTCCCAGTGCACTGCTTTGCCCAGGAGCCTATAATGCTGTTAAGACGGTCCTGAGCATATGTATACAGAATAGCAGAAAAATAGACAGCAATTATCCACAGAAAAACATAAATATTAATGCTAATTATGCACGTATTTGAAAAATATCTAAAACATTATTGACAAATATAAATGGACATGAAAGGGAACAGAATTGTGTTTAATTTTGCCGATAATATTATAGGCTTGTGACGTATCGTCACATGGTCAACATCAATTAATTCTCTAGCAGTTATTTTTTTATCTTCAGACTTTAATGTTGATGTGGAAAAATCCTAGATTTAATTAACATCACGAAATAGCCCCTTCAAAAATTGGTATACAAGTGTGCTTAATCTGCTGAAAAATACACTGTATGTTGACTAAGTTCCTCTGATGAATAGCGTAAATTTTTGATTTTCATTATGTCTGTCATAGAAATATCTGAAAACATTAACATGCAAAAGTATGTCAGTTTTTAAGGTGTCAGACCACTAAAAAATAAGTTGACCTATTCTATTACCTTTAAAAACGTACTAGAATCTGTGTAAATTTCATCTTCAAATTCATCTTTTTCAAAATCATCTTTCTGCAATATGAGACATTTTTATCTTCATGTTATATACTGTAGCATCACAAGAGGGCCGGCTTAAACATCTACCTCCTTCTTATGAAAAATACTGACCATTTCACTGATGCTCTATTATAGTGTTATTAAAATAATAGTTGTATATGATTAATTCAGACTATTAGAGATATCAAATTTTTAGGCGACAGACAACCATAATGAATATTAAATCCTCCTGGTGCAAAAACGTAAAATTTGACCTTTTGACCTCTGGGGTCACAAAGAACAAAGGTGAATTTAGCAAGTTTACATTTTTATTGAAAGAGTGATTAGTTTCGATCAATTTCAGCATGTTTTCATGATACAAGAATGGCTGCCTATTTGCTTTCAGTGTAAATGACCTCATTCCAACGGCAGACTGATTACCACACGGCATTGTACGTATTCTACGCAAAATTTTACAATATAGAAAAGTTTGGTTTGATTTTGAGCCCATTCGATGCTCCCTCCCCTCTCCCCAAAATAAGAACTGAGCCTCCAGTCTATAGATGCCAATGCTGATGTCCAGGCAAAATCACTGCCCCCTCCCACATTGTATACGCACATGTAACCACAGAAATAAAATTGACCATATTTTTTTCTCAAAATGACTTAAGTATTGTGTTGACTAGATATTAGGTCCTATTCTATTCCTCACCTTTACTTTTTCACCATCTGATTCAGATGGTTTATTATCTTCTTCTGTTTCATTAATTAATGCAATCTTTTTACTTACAGGTTCTTCACTTTCACTACAATACATAATACTAAAAAATATACACACAGATATAGATAGTCTATCAAGTCTGTAAAAAATCAAGTCTTTGACATATAAATTTATCAGCGGTTTGGATCATCAAAAATAAATAATACGAGAGAATAAGCCATTAGAAAAAGACATTTTTAATACATGTATGTGTGATACTTTGAAAGAAAAATATGTGAAATGAAAATGAAATGGGGTTTAATGTCCTACTGTTGTGCACCCACTAGGCTAATGATGACGGTCAACAGTGTGACATTGTATAAGCTTTTTTCTTTATTTAGACACAAGTTTCACAAATTCAACATAACAGGTTGGTTCATAAGCATGGCATAGATATATTTCAAATTGTTCATAATAATAACTTTATATAGTATTTAAGGCCTTTGGCTATAGTACCTTTTGCTAAAGAAATATATCTACAATTGTAATTTTCAATTAGTATCATAATAGTAACAAAAATAATTATAATTCACAGTTAGGACATATTTTAAATAATATTTCACATTATGACAAAAATGTAAATATGTATGTCTGATATAATTTGTAATAAAATAATCCTATTCTTAATCCCATTATACATGTATATAAATTTAGCCTGGTCATTCTTTAAACTGATAAACTTAATATTCATATTAAAATAAATTAATTTAGGTAATAATCTTAGTCTGAATTGATTACCACATAGAGGCATCAGAACATGAATTTTATCTTCAACGTAATTATTGTTTGATTTCATAAAGCAAGAAAGATTAAATTGCCAAGTGGTCACGGTCATTGTTTAGAAATGTTCTGTACCTTAAGATTTTATCTTTTTCTTTTGATGACTCTGTTTTCCCTTCACCTGTCTTCAACACTGATTTCAGCCCATCTGGTGAATCTACTCCAAGCTAAAATATATTGCAAAAATAATACTCATTTGATTAAGGCAAAAACCAAAAATGTTATGAATGAATAATATTTAAAAATTGAACCAGTTTGGTAGTTGCAAAGAGAAGTGCATTTTTAAAAGAGACTACACATGCCAAGATTTTGAAGAAGTATCTGTACTTTTAAATCCTCATTCTTGCTTTAATTGCTTTTTCACGATTGTTGGGTTTACCCTTTTCAACGGTATCAGTATTTGCATGTCTATAAAAGGAAAAAGTGTATAAGTTTCAGTACCGTATTACATTCATTGAATTACCGTTAGTACTGGGTATTGTCATTGCAATCACGATACGATATACAAACATGTAATGTGATTCAGGTGCTACGATATGATTCGTATCACAATTCATAACCACGTCAATATTTACCAAGAAAACAATGTTCAGGATAAATGAATAATTTATATTTTTAGTCCTGCAGATGTCAAAAGAATACAACTGTTTTATATCAAGATATTGTTGTGGATCAAAATAAGGACCATAACAATTTAAGAGTGTTTGTGTACCAACAGTAGGCCAACCTATGTTAAGTGTGTAATGTGGATAATTAAGAGTGACAAGTTACTTACTGAAGCGACAAAAAAAAAAAAATCGCGATACCTCGTTTCAGCGCGATATATCGAGCCAACACTAAGTAATTACTGTACTTCTTTTCACACATGCGGGATACTAAATTGAACATTCCGAAATTTAATTCTCTCAATCCCTCCAAAGGTGTCAATTGAGTGAACACAAGAATTTCAGGTGACTAGGCAAGTGCAAACTGATAATATCCTCTCGACCAAAACATTTGATTACATAATGATTCTTCTCTATTTTCAGGACTGGCATAAGTTACCCTGTATAAACATGATATTGATAATACAGAATTCTGAGTAGATAACAAACCTCATCTCTCAACCCTCCGTGTTTCGAGATAAGAGATGGTGCTATATAGTTCCCCGTAGCAAAGCTCAACGGAAATCACATCGGGACTCAGTAAGCAAAATTGACAATATTTTTCATCAAAACAACGATTGATTATTGTTATCTATAACATTTCTGCCACACCCAACTTCTACAATTAAGCATATAATCCTAGCTGAAACAAGTATAAATCATTGTATTTAAAATCGAGTCATTAAGCCACTACTAGGAATGCCATTTTTAAACGGGAGATGTATGACAGTGTATGTCGGATAAAAACAACGCTTTATTAATTTAAACGCTAATATTTGGAGTTAGACGAAAGTTGTGCCACTACATTGTACTAGGAATGCCATTTTTAAACGGGAGATGTATGACGGTGTATGTCGGATAAAAACAACGTTTTATTAATTTAAACGCTAATATTTGCAGTTAGGCGATAGTTGTGCCACTACATTGGCCCAATCGTAGCTAAAAACAAGCACATCAGAGTATATCTCAACGTTTTTAGCTATGTTCTCGTCTCGTAGCTAAATTCTGTGTCACTTGATTGCAACTATGTCAATTCAGAATGTTCGGCAATGACAATCAAGCATCGCACTTGTGTAATCAACCAAGCTTGTCTAATATAACAACTAGCGACTGTCTACAAATATATCTAGCTAAAAAAAAAAAGAATAGAAAGATTCAAAGCGGAAAATTCAATAATTACAGCTTGAGCCAGAAGTTTCTTTCTTTGTTGTGACCGTTCTTTGTATTCTTTCAGTCGGTCCGACATGTCAGTCAACACCCAGATGTATAAAACACCGGCAATGTGATGTTGTTGTATACAGAATATTCTAATTATCTAATAATAATCGTTAATCTATCAAGCTCGTTTTTCGATCATGCTTGTCTTCAAGAAAAATGAAAACAATAGCCAATTAGCAGTTGTCGTAAACAAACACCGGGTTGTTTGAAAGTAAATAGAAACCGAACAAAATATCAATCATGAGCGATGCTTAACAATACTTTACTCCAATTCTATTAAAAATATCCAAAAACGTGTGTAGATCAACATAAGGATAATAAGTTGCGGCATTGTGAATTTACGACATTCTCAGCGTTAACTTCCGGTGCAAGTGAAAGTCGCCGCAAAGTGGCTGTGAAAATAAAATGCGATGAAAAATTAAGACATTGACATTGTTGTATATGCCAGTGATCCTGTATTGACTTTTTCAAAATGCCAAAGTTATCAGATGTTGTCTGCAAAACAGCTCCACTAAGAAAATTTAATAATTATAAACCAAACCCTTACAAATATAAGATTGTTTTACCACCAGTGTTAAGAGACGAAGTTTCCAATCGTGGACAAAAAACGAACAGTGAGTTCACCATTTGTCATATTAGCAATTACACATTTATGGAAACTAACCTAAAGACTGACATCCAATATATTCCTTGAATTATTTTTTCCCAAACGTTTGAAACTAGGCCTACATATATAATAGTTCTATCTGATTGGTCACCAGTGGTGAGCGGAGTGCCGCAAGGCTAAGGCAGCTGACTAGGCCTAGGGCCTGTTGTGTTCGTGTTATACATCAATGCCTTGCCAAGTATTGTGAAATCGCTGTGTGAGATGTATGCTGACGACACCAAAGTTTTCTCTTGGGTAGACAAATATGAGTTCATTACTCGGCTCCAGTCGAATCTGGACAGTCTTGTAGCATGGGCCGACATATGGCAACATTGTTTCAATGCGGACAAATGTCAAATGTCACATACTCCACTTAGGTCACAATAATCCCCACCATACTTACTGCATAAAAAGAAACATGACTCAGACGATGTAGTGACGCTAGCAACATCCGAGGTTGAAAAAGATCTTGGTGTGTTAATAGACAGCAAACTCAAGTTTTCCAGTCACATTCAAACAAATCTGTTTGTAGGCCTCATTCGCAGATCATATACATATATAGACAAGGACTGCTTCAAGATGCGTATTGTCGCACTAGTGCATCCCCACTTAAGAGTTTGGCAATGTAGCATGGTCTCCTGGACAGCGGGGCGATAAAAACTTGATAGAAAGTGTGCTAATCATCCCCTTTTGAATCGAAGTGTCAAAAGCTGGCTTTGCCCAACATTTTATAACAGAATAGGTTTGATGTCATAACGTCATGAAGGTGGGTCTAAATATATGTCGAGTACAACAGCCATTCAAGATATTTTTGATGAATTAAAAGATTCCTAACTTTTGCTATTTTTGATGAATTAAAATATTCCTAACTTTGCTATTTTTGATAAATTTTATTTCATGTAATTATTTGTAAGCACATAGTATAATAAATAAATATCTCCAAATATCTCAATAATTACACCACAATATTTATGCATATACCAAGCCTTGAATGCACATTTATAATCACTAAATAAACGGTCATGTTGTACTTAATACGCTATGACTAAACATCGATAAATAATAGACTAAAAAATGGTTACGAGTGTTGGCCATAACATCCGGGCACTTTTGAGTAAAAAATAGGTTACATGCCCTTGTTTTGAAATTAATATCGCTTAACAAGTCTAGTACTGATCATTCTCTGCCTGATTGACAGGCCAGGATAATCAAGACTACTGTTTTATGAAACATAACAGAAAGCTGGAACAAGAGATTGAATTTAGAAACACATTCGCCATGTTAAGTTCAACTTTCAATAGGGAAAATTTTCGCTGCATGGGGCACCCTAGTAATAGTACGATACACGATGAATCGTGCCAACTTGACCAGGCAGACATTTTCGTTTCAAGTCCAAAACAGACACAATCTTCAATCTTCTACGGTTGGCGCACGCAGAGTAACATATAATAAGGCATTATATTGGTGAAATGGTTCATTGAAATGATCAGTGAAAAATATTGCTTGATTAAACGGATAATATAAGCCTATTTATAGTTATTCAAATCCTGTTTCGCTACATTATGTAGGGTATTTTTTATTAGTGATAATAGTATAAAATAACATATTCATAAGATGTTACTAATAAACAAGGAAACACTGACGGCCCTAATCGTAGCTAAAAACAAGCACTTCAGATTTATATTTGTAATTCAAATTATTATCAGAAACTATATGATTAATGGGTACTGATCTTACAATGTATGTTCTTGTATTTCAGAGGCTGTATGTGTACAAGAGATGTCTACGATGATGGTTTGTTTTAAGAGAAATAATTATGATGAAAGCTTATGTCATAAAGAAGTAACAGATTTTAATAAATGTGTTGTTAATGCAAAGGTTTGTATATTAATGGGCAGTTTTAACAAATAATATGAAATGACTTGGCACCGACTTGGCTAGTGAAGATGGGCATACGCCATACAGTGTGTTACTCTTATTTTGAATTCCAACTCTCAAGGGTTCTTTTAAAATAGATTTATTACTGTTTAAAGCAAAATTCTGACAAACTTGGAGACATCCTGTTCAATGCCTCGCACATTGAGTAATTATTGTATATGCAACTAAACCTGGTTTATTTTTCTAATTTATCTAGTTCTGTCAAATTATCATGCAGTAAAATATCAACAAGAATAATAATACATGATATAACATATGTTTTCTAGACATCTTCTAAAATAATATCTTGTAGAGAGTGTTGGTAACCTAGCCTATGTTTATTGTTATAAGATATATGTATACATGTAGATGTACTATAGTTATCAGATCATCAGCTGGCAAATTATACAGGTGGCAGGAAACCAAACACTAAATCAACTCTTACACGCAATAATAACAAACTTACTTTTTACATCTACTTTTATTTATTGTCAATTCAAAATAGATAGCTTTTATTTTTTATACATGTTTAGGAGTTCTATTATCATAGCAAACCAGAGCCGCAGTGGCTTAGTAACTAAGACGCTTGCTTGCTAACCAAAATGTCTTGGGTCGGCCCTTTTGGATAGTTGTTTGGATGGGATGAAAAACCGAGGTTGCATCAGTTTATTAATATTACAAAACACTTAAAAAAAGCAGCCTTCACCAAAGTGCTTCAATGCACTTTACCCTAGGCGATGCAAGTCATCAACGAGTGCTGAAATTTCAGAAAGTTTGGAAAACTTGATTGAGGCAAACATGTTTTCCTGCTATTCCAACTTCAGCAACTTCAGTGTTGTCCAGTATAGCCCAACTTAGGTGACTGACCTGAATTCCAAACAACCAATCAATCGTTTAGTCCACGGAGCGCCTTCCCTGAGAAAATTTTAGAAAAATAAAGCCTCAATACCACTCTTGTTGTAACTGAATTATATGTCCCAATCTTTATTCTGGTCAACAAATTGTACTATTTAGAATATTTCAATTAATTGATGATACAAATTTCATCTTAACACACCTTATTTAAAAATTTTGAAAAATTCAACATAATGGTTTGAAACGTCTAACGTAAACCTTTTCAAATGAAACTTTGATTTAAAAATATTTTCGAACCCTCTGGATAAGTAAAATAGGATGTAATGGATAATTTACACAACAGGTAGGACACTTAAACATCTAGTACTTAGATAGAGATATTATTTATTTTCTGGAGCTTTCAAGCCAGCAAGAGTGTTATTGTCCCTTTAACCGCCACTGATGCGTTTTTCTGCTATTCTAGTCCGTGAGTCAAGCAACGTCAAAGTTGTCCACTCTATGCTGGAGCTGAATTCCAATCATCCAATCAGTCTGTTGGAGCTGCATTCACAAATAATAATCAATGCCCGAAAAATGTCACACAAAGCAGTGTGGCTCCTGACAAAATGTTTTAATCTAAATTTGCATTTTTCTGCTATTCTAGCCCGTGAATCAAGCATCTTCAAAGTTGTCCAATGGTTTTGCAACCGAAATCCCACTCTATGCCAACCTGAATTCCAGTCATGCAATCAGACTGTTGGAGCTGCATTCACAAATAATAATCAATGCCCGAAAATGTCACACAAAACAGTGTGGCTCAAGACAAAATGTTTTGAACCATGGTCAGTTCAGTATAAATTTGTGGTCTTCAATTAGAAGAAAAGTAAAATTAATGTTTTATTAGATTTCAGAGACTTTATTTTGCAAACTAGATGATATTTTGCGAAACAGGGTGGTCCCATGACAAAATGTTTTAATCCATGGTCAGTTCTGTACCAATTCGCGGTATTCAATAACCAAAAAGTAAAATTAGTGTTTTGTTAGACTTTGGCATTTTATTTTACAAACTAAATTATATCATTATAACGCCCCTCAAACCACTGGTTTGTATGCCTATGCACTTTACATACATGTACATGTGAGCAAGATATCTAAATGATAAAATTATTTGATTAAAATAAAATATATCGTTTTAAAAGCTTCTTGATAATACAAAAAAAAACTAAAATATTTAGATCAAACTAATTCAATTTTGGTACTACTGGAACTTGATAGCCACCGGAGTAAGGCCGTAACTAGCTCAGAGCAATGAGGGGGGCGGGAAGTGTTCTCAGGGGGTGCTGTAAAATTGACAGACAATGTATATCTAGGGTTTTTTACGGGCCTACTTGTGAAGTATGTTCTATACGGTTCCTAAAGGAACTAGTTCTGTTTAATATACGGAGACACAATGAAAACACACCACTTTTGTAAATGGATGAATGTAAATCTTGTTTGGAAATGAAATGAAATGGGCTTTAACGTCCTACTGTTCTGCTGGGACTGAGCTAATGAAGACGGACATACTCAGTTTGCGATGAGGGAAATTTTGCCCGGACAGCAGCACTCTTATATTGAATTCAAACTGCCAATGGGTCTTTAACGTGATGCTAATGTGTACACAGGACCTTTGTTTTTCATCCCATCTGAACGTCTAGACAGCTGTCCTTGTCAGACCCTCCATCCTGCACCACTCATACAGGGAAACCACGCGGGAAAATGCTGATGAACTTTCTCGTCCAACAACAGGATCGAACCCACGACCTCCAGACTGGGTGGGACGATTTACCCAATACTACCCAATACCACCCAATACCATACTACCCAAAACTACAACATAATGATGCAAAATAGACATATCGTTTGATTTTTATACGCCCAGATTTTCATGTGGACGTATTATGCCGTCGCCCCTGTCCGTCCGGACGTCCACAATTTGTTTGTGGACACTCTACAGGTCACAATTCTTATCCGATTTTGACGAAACTTGAAATATAGGTTTATCTCCAAAAGATCTCGGTTCCTTTCGATATTGGCATGTATCGGATCGAAACTTCATGGATTATGGCCCCTGTTTGTACGAAAAATCACGTTTTTAGCTTGTGGACACTATAGAGGTCACAATTTTTATCCGATTTTGTTGAAACTTGAAATCTAAGTTGATAATCCATAGATCTCTGTTCCTTTCGATATTCGCGCATATCGGACCGTAACTTCCTGAATTATGGCCCTGATTGTACCAAAAATCGTGTTTTTAGCTATAGAGGTCATAATTTTTATCCGATCTAAAAAACTGTTCAATTATATCACTGTTACACCCTAAGGATGGCTGAGTTCGAATTTTGTGAAAATCGGCCCAAAATTGACAGACAAAATGGCCACCGTTCGTTCTCAAATAGCGTAAAAATATGGTATATCAAGGTTGTGGACACTATAGAGGTCACAATTTTTTTCCGATTTTGTTGAAACTTGAAATGTAAGTTTATAACCCAAAGATCTTGGCTCCTTTCGATATTCGCGCATATCGGACAGTAACTTCCTGAATTATGGCCCCTGATTGTACCAAAAATCGTGTTTTTAGCTTGTGGACCCTATAGAGGTCATAATTTTTGTCCGATTTAAAAAAACGTATTATTATATCACCGTTACACCCTAAGGATGGCTGAGTTCGGATTTTGTTGAAACTTGAAATGTAAGTTTATAACCCAAAGATTTCGGTTCCTTTCGATACTTGCGCATACCGGACCTTAACTTCCTGAATTATGTTCCCTGATTGTACGAAAAATCGCGTTTTTAGCTTGTGGACCCTATAGAGGTTATAATTTTTATCAGATTTAAAAAAAAGTTTTATTATATCACCATTACACCCTAAGGAGGACTGAGTTCGAATTTCGTGAATATCGGCCCAAAAATGACAGACAAAATGGCTGCCGTTCTTTCTCAAATAGCGTAAAAAATATGGTATATCAAGGTTGTGGACCCTATTGAGGTCACAATTTTTATCCAATTTTGTTGAAACTGGAAATGTAAGTTTATAACCCAAAGATCTCGGTTCCTTTCGATATTCACGCATATCAAATTGTAATTTCCTGAATTATGGCCCTTGATTGTAGGAAAAATCACTTTCTTGTTAGCTTGTTCTCTATCCATCTCTCAAAAATGTGGGCGTATCCTGCCTGGCAGCCGCTGGTTTTCAAAAATAGAGAGTTATATCGCGGGAAATGTACTTCAAATGCGATACCGATATCTGGCTGTTCCATTTGCCTCCCTCTACCACTCCAAAAAAGCCAATAATAACCCAATACTACCAAATACTCATCAAATACTACCAAATACTACCCAATATGATCAAATAACAACCTAATATTGTCAAATAACAGCACATTAGTATAATTACTGCAACGAATATTCGATATTTTGCAGAAAATTGAAATTTTTACACAGTTATCTCCCTTTACAACCGGTAAATAGATTTTAGATTGCTGCACTGATTAATCATTTTCTTTGCCTTTGCAATTGGTTTCGAAGACGACAAACTTAAAATAAGAAAAACAAGTATGACGATATACCATATTTTGTTCCCAAAATGACCCATCTGTATTTTAAAATGTTGTATTTTAAAATTAACGAAATTGCACATGTTTCTTTCCAGTGTGTAATTCTCGACGTGACACATCTCAGTTCATCAAAACTATCCTTTGCGGCCTGTTACAGCTCTGTCGGTTTCTTTGATAATATAAATAAAACAGAACTTGATTACCCAATCAACAATCTTAACCCCGTTGATTAATTGCTAAGTCAGGTTGAATTTATATACGAGTAGAGCATTACACATTGTGGGAGGAAACTGTAGACCGTGTCTATTCATTTATGTGATAATGACATCGCCGCGACATCGTCACCTGTGGGTATATACCGTAGAATACTTAGAATTTGTTCAATAGTGACAATATTCGAAGAATCGGTGAAATTTTGACAAGAGGTTTTGTTTTTCAAAGGCGTCTGGTATGGAACCGGAATCATTTAAAAGACAAAGAAGATATCACGTAAACGTAAAACACAACTAACTAACAACAGACAGATATAAAGATCAATTCGTGTCCTTTCCTGACATATTATACCCAAATGATTTTTTACAGGACCGAGTGCACTTGTAGACAGCGTAAAATCACCAGGATGAAGAAATAATTATAGTACAAGAAGACTTTTGAATAGATCACGAGACCGTTAAATGAACAGTTTCTAAATCAACCTCTAAAATACTCTTTTATTTGGATGTTTAGCTGTTTATTTTATAACACTATAGCGGAGGCATCTATAATAACCTGTTTTCCTTATTTTAACTTCGTGGTCAAGGAAACAAACTGCAAAGACCAACAAGATGATTAATTTGAGTAGCAATCTAAATTCTATTTGTCAGTTGTAAAGGGAGATAACTGCGTAAATATTTCAATTTTCTGTAAATTATCGAATATTCGTTGCAGTAATTATACTAATGTGCTGTTATTTGACAATATTAGGTTGTTATTTGATCATATTGGGTAGTATTTGGTAGTATTTGATGACTATTTGGTAGTATTGGGTTATTATTGGGTTTTTTTTTGGGGTGGTAGAGGGAGGCAAATGGAACAGCCAGATATCGGTATCGCATTTGAAGTACATTTCACGCGATATAACTCTCTATTTTTGAAAAAAATCAAATGATATTTCTATATTGCATCATTATGTTGTAGTATTGGGTAGTATGTGGTGATATTGAGGTGGTATTGGGTGGTATTGGGTAGTATTGGGTAAATCGTCCCGCCGCTCCAGACTAGCGAGCCAGCGCCTTACTCACTGAGCCACTGTGACTCCCAAATCTTGTTTGCTAGATACACTTTTATATCGTAATTCTGAATGTATCAACATCAGATAAGGATGATAACATGTGAGAATGATGTTTTCATGATCGTGTATACTCACCACAGGTCAATTCTCTCAAACACCAACAATTGAATTTGACAGAATTGGAATGTTGAGTATTCAGACATGGTGCAGACATGGGGGTTTAAAATGTGTCCTTTAAAAAGCTAGGGTCTAGTGCAACTCCCACAGTTCCATGAAATGCCAAGGTTGACACCTGAAATCCTTGGGCTGAAAGTTTAGATGCCATCCACTACCACCCTGAGACTGGAGGATTGTTTCCAGCAGACATATTACTCTAGAGATAGCCCACAGTCTTGATGGCAAAGCCTCACTGGATCGAAACATTATCCAACAATATCTTCTGTATCGCATGTTGCCAGTTACCCGTACTGCTGCTACATAGGCTAATCAGTGCTAAGTACTGTACATTACTGACTTCGTTTTGCTGGACCTGTTCCCAAGCAGCCTTATGTTGGACAGATTCTGACTTTTGATTTGTACCCCTTGTGCATACCTTTTGCTGTAAGTTAAAGTTGTTGTGACCTTCGTGCTTCTCGTATGTTGGTAATTGTCTATCCTAAAAATTATGCCAAAAAACACATTTGAGCTGCTTAATGTCACGCCAGCATGTTTAGTCAGATTAGTGGTGCTTTTTCGCTGTGTCTCAATATATTTCAAAACTTAAATATTTGGAGCAAAAAGTGACGCAAGTAATATGCAGCAAAATTTTGAAGAACAAAAATTGACGTGTCCTTGTGAATGATTAACAGAATTGGCAATGGTTGCTCAGGAGAAGTTTTATGGGAATAATTAATGGATAAATGCAGTGTAATTCTTCTATTAGTAAGTGCAGGAGAACCGTAGTACATGAAAAACTAAACCGATAAGACAAACCAGCAGACAGATAAATTACACAGACATTGCAAGAAATAAACATCAAATATTAAATCATTGAATGTATGCAGGATGCAGGCAACTAAGTAAACGTTTTCTTGGTAATCAGTTTCACTAAATATAAGGCGTAGAATAAGAGTTTATGATATTGTTTTAAGGATGAAAAGTTGATATTGAAGTATAAGAACTGACTAGACACGTCCTAATGACTCCTATTGTGAATGTTTTTATAGACCCATAAGATAAACTATAATATAACATCTGTGTTTTCAAGGCTATATGATTCGTGTTAAACTAGTAATAATGAAAATAGTATATCCCATCTGTAATAATATAATTTATACTTTTATTGATAGACAGAAGAGGTGCAAGATTTAAACAACGCAAAACACCCAGGCACACTCACACAGAGTTTGTAGTAAAAATAGTGGACAAAACCGGTGTAATTAATTCACTCACTGTTTTATTTTCAAGGAAATGGCTGAAACCAAGATCATTTTATGAATCCCAAGTTCCACACCTGAACTATATTCTTATATTTAACATAGCTAATACATGTTTGTTACGCTTTGTATAGGCCTGTAGCCAAAATTTCGAACGTAAAGTTCAGCTACAAGGGCCTCCGTGCTAATCAAACTATACATTTTTGGAAAGCTTGTAACACCAGGAAGACAAATCCAGAGAGTTCCAGATTCGATGAACCGCATTTCAGTTTTTCGGACACAAACATCAAAGAATGGTAAATTTTAAATAATGATTAATTCAATCTGAAAATTCGGGTGACAAAAGGAATTCGGGATTTGTATTCCTGGTGTTATAAGCTTTCCAAAAATGTATAGTTTGTTTAGCTGGGGGGACCTTGTAGCGGAATTGTGTTTCTAAGCAAGCTAGAAATTGGCTGCAGGCCTAGTACGAGTATTGGTGGCTAGCTAGATGAGGAGCATGGTGCAGCTCTCTAACTTGGAGATCCCAGAATGGATCGCAGTTTTGGCCGGGAATATTCCTCGGGATTTTCTTGTCTGTATTGTAGGAATAAACGTCCTGAGACAAAAAAACAAAAACAAAACTGAGGCACACCAGTGTACTTATTAGCGGGCAATTAAAAGAACTCTTGACACTTGGAAATCTAAAGAGTATGCCGTAACGCCACATTTTACCCCATACCACACTGCCTAGTGGCTGTCCGTCTTATTTAGCACATGGTTAGTGCAGAAACGAAGGACTTTAAACCTTATTTCGTTTTATTTGAACTAATAAATTGTTGTACTTTGTATAGGAAGGAAATTTCGCAGCCGTTTATGCAGCAAATCCAGAATTGTTTTTCAGAAATATATAACCCTTGGCAACAGTAGAATAATAAATAAAAGTAAAGACTCATATCCAACGATATTACTATTATGTTATCTCTTGTGTTTATATTGTGATTACAGGAAGCAAGAAGAAGGCAGGAGGACGCCATTACACAGGGCAAAACATTAGAAGGAACTGGCAAACAGTCGGCCCCAGTAGTTAATAAACTATTATCACGATATCCTCAACCCAAATCACACTTTTATTTAGGTAAATAAACACCGATTAACTTGATTTCCATTAACTATAAAATGTCCAATTCTACGAAAAAAAGCTAACTCCTGGTCCTGTCACTTCTGTATAGACCATGACTTTCAAGGAAGCCCCGATTAATAACACCGCTATTTAATAACATTCACCTTAATTTCTGTCTACCTTCCAAATTTGGGGCAACTTCCCATTGTGCCTTGCAAAAAGACGGACCTACTTGGAACATGGTCCCATGGTCGAGGCGCGATATTGATATTGGAGAGTATTTGTCTATATGGGTGTTATTGCATGACAGAGGACCAGTAAATCACATTATATATATTTTATTGGGTGGTAAGATTATGTTACGTTTGTTCGATCCAACGAAGTATGCGGTAAAAGAAATCTTAAATACTTATCTTATGTTTGTTTTCAGAATAAAAGAAGACACGTTGTTAGAATATAGTGTTAGACGGGTGTATTACTAGTGTGTGTATTGTATGTCATTATCATCGTGTATATGATTTATAAAGATTTTATATATACATAACTGTTTGTTTTATACACCCATATTGAAATTCGGTCGTGTATATCGCCGTCGCCCCTATCGTCCACAATTTCTTGTGAATACTTTTGAACTCTGGAGACAGTGCTTCTTCTGCAAATTCTAATTTCCCAAATTAATATGTATTTTTTTTTACATTATTAAGATGACTTTCTTTGGTTTCTGATAAGAACTTTCAGGGTTTTGCTCTTGGTCACATTAAGGAATCCTATGAACATTTCTAGTGACAGGGGTTTAAGAGGTTAAGGTTGCCCTTGCTCACTTTGTAGAATTTATCAAAAGTTACCTTCAGTCAGCTTGGAATTTGTAGGCATCGTAAAGATTAGTAATACAAAGAGGCAATATAATTTATGTTAAAATGATTGCGATTCCTTTTTTTGAATAATTTTGTGAATGCTCTAGCCACTAAATGTACAAATTATGTTGTGCAAATGAGTTACTGGAAGAAGCACATTCAAATTTCTTTAATTACTTTCAGAGTTATTGGCTTGCACAGTTGGGTTAGAAGTAAATACACGGAAGTGGGTTAGGGTGATTGGTGAATCTATCAAGTTCGGTGGGGAACACGCCTTATATCTTTAGAAAACACAAGTAGTCATATCTACTAACCCCTGGCTTAATTACCATCTAATTTTGTATTGATAATAAAAACAGCCAGTTTGGCTCAGAATGATATTGGTAGCGTTTTAAATCGAGGTTAGCCACTGTTTCATTTCATCTTATTTCATTCAAATAACTATGCTCAACCCTGCCATTACCAAGGGTTTCGTTATGCAGGTACACATCCCGGCAGTGTCCATCAAATTATGTTCATGGTCTTGCTTGCCAGCTTCCAGGCTTCGATCCCGATGTTGGCCAAGATAATGTCTTTTCCAGCGTAGTGCCCACCTGACAATGGTGCAGGAAAAAGCGTCTTCCAAGGGACAGTGTCTAGTCTCCCGGATAGTACAGAAAACCTACGTCCTATGTACATGTTGAAGTGCACGTAAAAGTAAAATTGCACTCCTAGCACACTGCATTGGTACATGTCCCTCTTCATTATCCTGGTTTGTGAAGAACAGTAGGACATTAAACTACGCTATCAATAATTGATTATTGTAATATACAATACGAATATACAAGCCGCGAGATTTCTATTCTCCAGCCGACAGACTGGGCGTATAAAATAAAACTCTAGTCTTTTATAATTGAATGATTTCTTCACATGACATCACTTGAAGCTCATGTCAACATTTCCTGTGATTTCTTCGTAACCTTCTTCAAGTTACCAAGTACCTGATGACTGTGTATAATAATACAGTGTGATAAACTTGGGCGATGTTTTTACACAAATGTTTCACAAAACGTGAATTGACTACTTGTACTACAAACTTTAATGTGGACTTTAAACGCGGTGACCCAAGATGAACGAAAACATTAAAAATAGTCATACAGTAAGAGTTTCTTAGTTACACCTGCCGTTTACGCTGACCTGTCAACACCGACCCCCTGCTATATATTTAATAACAGGCACTTTTGGGTCCGCGTCATGCAGAATTTACCAATTAATAATTATGGCAGATTGCATATCTCTGGTTCTCTCTGTGCATCTCTCTGGTTCTTCCGACGCTGGGCCCCCAGAGCCATCCTTTCTCCTAAAATTGCGGTCCCATATTTCCGAGCCCCGTTTTGTCGGCGATAGGCTGCGAACCTTGGGACACTTGCTGTGGATAGAAACATGGGAACGTCGAGTCGTAAGCGCATGGTATTGTTAATAAAGTTATTGATCAGTCGCCTTCTCTGGATGGCCCCAGTTCCATCCGTTTGCTCTTAAGCACGTTCTTTCTCTCTTCAAGTTACTTTGCTTCATGGTACTTGACATGAAATGTACCAATTCTGAGTGCAAAACTGTCCAGCGGAATTTTTTGGGAAAGCCAGACGCCACAATCCCCCGAACCACCAGAAACTGACAGGATAGTAGTCTGCATTGAGCTCTGTAGACTCTAATAGCAGAATTCCGGTTGGTTTCGTTTCAACACCGCACTAGCGTACCGTGCATCTGTTGGGAACTCCTCACTTCTTCCCACCAGAGCCACAGTATACCTAATTATTTATGCATGCTTTCCCGATATTGTCGCTGCTCCGCGATGAAAAACCAGATTGGCGAACTAAGTGTCATTAGGCAGACACGAACGAACATGCTTCACCACTCCTATCGGACTTTGTAAGAACTGCACGATGCCAAGACTGGTTTAGTCGCCCTGTTGTGAATCAAATGAGCCTACAGGCTCCATTCTATGTACTGCCGTTCCGTCCACCATTTACCCATGTTCGTGAAGCATGTTAAGTCTGAAAATCCCGAATTTTCTAGGTATATTATCTCCCTTTACAGCAGACACGTGAAGAATAGGGTTGTCCAATCATATACGTTTACAGCCGTTGAAAGTTTTCTGTTAGTTGAAAAACTCACTGAAAACCAAAGAAAAGCAAACCAACTAGTGTATTGGAAGAACAGAAGAGTATATTAGAAAGATTTGGACTAAATTGGTTATCACAGGTAGACATTTCAGTTTGAAAGCGCAAGACTTGGTATTCGCGATGATATTTTCTATCCAGGAATCTGAGAGGGCAGGGGCCTAGACCAATCGAAATTAGTAACGAAAAATATAAGAGTATTACGTGAAGGCATTGATGTACTGAGTTAAAGCGAGATCAAGCCTTATAGTTCTATTAAAGATGTCATTTAACCCGAAACCCCTTTCTCACCCCACCCCACCCCCACAGCGCGACATGGTCTGCAGCGTTTGCTGTCGGTATTATGATGAAATCCATCTGTTTTTTTCTGAACGATCCGCGCTGATAGGCCATGCGAAGCACCGGAAATCCAATCCCCGGCAAAGCACCATCACTGCAAAGGTCGGTCATAAAATATACAACATTATTCTATTTGTTAATACAAGTTATTGAATCAGTCCATACGAGTCTGGACGTTACCCTACAAGATCTAACCCTACAAGAATGGGTGCTCGTATTTGGTATTAAGTATATACGAACGAGACATGTTACTGCTGGTGACATGGCAGGAATAACAGCTAACACGGTGCCCTGTAGAACATGTGTGAAGGACGTTAAACACCCATTTCAGTTCGATTTCAATACCACACTACGGTGCCCATCTTCAATGTCCGTCATTAATAAAAAGTGGATAACATTGCTTGGTTCTGATTTTAAGATCGACATCCTTTTAGCCTACACATCCCCGTTTTGTGTTTTTAATTACCAAATCATGCTTGCTTTCCCGATATTGTCGCTGCTCCGCGATGAAAAACCAGATTGGCGAACTAAGTGTCATTAGGCAGACACGAACGAACATGCTGCACCACTCCTATCGGACTTTGTAAGAACTGCACGATGCCAAGACTGGTTTAGTCGCCCTGTTGTGAATCAAATGAGCCCACAGGCTCCATTCTATGTACTGCCGTTCCGTCCACCATTTACCCATGTTCGTGAAGCATGTTAAGTCTGAAAATCCCGAATCTTCTAGGTATATTATCTCCCTTTACAGCAGACACGTGAAGAATAGGGTTGTCCAATCATATACGTTTACAGCCGTTGAAAGTTTTCTGTTAGTTGAAAAACTCACTGAAAACCAAAGAAAAGCAAACCAACTAGTGTAATGGAAGAACAGAAGAGTATATTAGAAAGATTTGGACTAAATTGGTTATCACCGGTAGACATTTCAGTTTGAAAGCGCAAGACTTGGTATTCGCGATGATATTTTCTATCGAAATTAGTGACGAAAAATATAAGAGTATTACGTGATGGCCTTGATGTACTGAGTTAAAGCGAGATCAAGCCTTCTAGTTCTATTAAAGATGTCATTTAACCCGAAACCCCTCCCCCCCCCCCCCCCACAGCGCGACACGGTCTGCAGTGTTTGCCGCGGTATTATGATGAAATCCATCTGTTTTTTTCTGAACGATCCGCGCTGATAGGCCATGAGAAGCACCGGAAATCCAATCCCCGGCAAAGCACCATCACCGCAAAGGTCGGTCATAAAATATACAACATTATTCTATTTGTTAATACAAGTTATTGAATCAATCCATACGAATCTGGAAGTTACCCTGCAAGAACTAACCCTACAAGAATGGGTGCTCGTATTTGGTATTAAGTATATACGAACGAGACATGTTACTGTTGGTGACATGGCAGGAATAACAGCTAACACGGTGCCCTGTAGAACATGTGTGAAGGACGTTAAACACCCATTTCAGTTCGATTTCAATACCATACTACGGTGCCCATCTTCAATGTCCGTCATTAATAAAAAGTGGATAACATTGCTTGGTTCTGATTTTAAGATCGACATCCTTTTAGCCTACACATCCCCGTTTTGTGTTTTTAATTACCAAATCATGACCAGGGGCTTGTCACCATTACCTGTTTTAGAATCAATTGGTTTTTTGTTTTGAAACCTGGCAGAGAAACTAGAATTAATATGATGCTGTAAGTCACGTACATCATAGTACTTGAAGAGTGCTTTGGTGCTTCTATATCTTTGATGTCCGTGCTCTTTACCTAACAGCCTACATGTATGTGCAACTGCAAGTGGTTTTTGTTTACTAGATATATCATGTGATTATTATTACGGTATAAATAAATGCAGTTCTTTTTCTCCCTTTTTTAAAAATAGTTTTAGGTACAATAAAAACAGAAACAATAACACTAAAACGATAAAACCATGAATCGGGGAGAGGCACAGACAGTGTAATGAGGTACGAAGACTCGAATATTCATTCAGCTAGTGATACTAACGCGGTAAACTAAATAAACAAACACTAGAATTATCCCAACAAATTGCACCAAAAGGAAAAAAAACCAAAAAAAACATATGAATATAAAATATGTATATAGAATATAATGAGTATGCACTATTCAAATTGCACAGAACAAAAAATAAGTGTGAATAATTACAAGAAACTAGGTCTGTTTATATGAACTAATATTGTGGTTTGTCATAATTATTATAGGATTTACTCATCCCGGGCCAAGTACAAGCATCTTAAATGAGAGAACTAGGTAAGGGTGGTTTTATTAGGCATCTGTGGTTTTGCATTGATTTAATGTGTTTATTGAAAGTACTTTCTTCTAAATCACTGTCATTCATGCTATCGGACGGTATTAACATCCGTATGACTAATGTGCAACATGCGATTACGTAATACTGTTTCTTTATGATTCATGTTTTGGTGTGGTGATACTTGATAGATAAAGCGAGGACGAAAAAGAGCAAAAGTATATTTAAAGACAAAGCAATAAGTGCGCCAGGTGCAAATGCTAAAATCAAAAACGCAACAGGGTAACAAGCTTTCAGTTAAAATAATAAAAAAACACAATAGGGTAACAAGCTTTCAGCTATATACGAAATCTTGTCTACTAAGGTCTATTTAATAATTGTATTGCACATACCAAACTTTTAGATAAACTTCAACGAGTCCAAAATAAAGCTGCACGCCTTATCATACGCATTAAAAAATATGATCATATTACTCTAATTTAATAAAAATTTACACTGGTTATCTATTTCTTATAGAATTGATTTTAAAATTTTTAAATGTTTGAACAAATTAGCACCTGTTTATTTATCGGATCTC